ACAGAAGTTTCCGATGGCAAGTGTATGAAACAGAAGTAAAATGTACAGAACATCTGCTACTTTTGGTTTACACTGTTGTACACTTGCTCAGAAAAGCAAAGTATGCAATGTACACTGCCAAAACAGTTCACACTTTGATTTCTTTGATCTCTGAACCGTAAAAGCTGCTTATAGTATTAAATAAATTATATTTTGTCTTTTAGATTGTGAAAATTTGCTTTTTGTACACTTTATACACTTTGCGGAAAAAAAACAAACTGAAATATACACTTTGCTTTCAAAGTACAGAGTGCACTGTACATTTTGTTTTAGATTTCCATTGGAAACACTGGACAAACTACAGACTGAGCTGATTAATCGCGTGACCAAGCTAATACGTTCACCATGGTGCATCCACTTGTTCGAAAATTCCTACCAGTCGTTAGCTTCGTGATCGCAACGGTCGCTCTCGGTTTTCAGGTTGGTGTATTATATCCATGGCATCATCAACTTGAACAGCGATTCGATCAATTGGAGGATAAACAAGACAAAAAACTCGACAAATATCATCAGTCAAAAATGGAAACGATTAAGCATATCGAAGACAAGCTCGAGGTATTACATTTGGCTCACCATGATACAAAATCGAGCAAATAACTTTCTTTTTACCAGCTGTTATTCGTGTTTTTTTAAAATGATATCCTTACTATATCCTCTGCAGTTTTCTTGTACTGCTTAGAAAATTCATTTGAATTAGAAAAATATATGCGAAAATGTTAGTTTAAACACTAACAACTTATTCATTTTAATTCACTACTGAATTCGTGAAATTAAATCGCGAACATTCGATTTCGAGCTCGGTTATGACAAAACAAATACGCCCTTTGATCTTGTTCGTTTTTTCTTTCTTTCTTTCTTTCTTTCTTTCTTTGTTTGTTTGTTAAGAATACTAGTGTGCAGTGCGTTTTTATCTGAACACCCGCACTCTATAGATCGTGCCGTTTTATTGCGTATATAAATAGACAAGATTAAAATTAGTGATAATCTATGCAATAAGTATTATATTTATGGATTATTTTGAAAGATTCGAGGGTGCGATTGTAGTCTTAAGTTCATTGAGCCATGCTCTACACCCGTTTCCAAAATACATGAAAAATCGATATATTTCTTCTATGAACTGCATCTATGAAAATAAATTAACTTTAAACATTACTATATTTAAAGACTAACTGAAATTTGGCAAAATGACGTTTTTGATTTTGAAGTAGGAAAACCCAAATTCCTGTAAAAATATTGCTTCAATGAAAATATCAGCTATAACTTTTGTTTTCAACTTAGATTAATTAAAAAGAGGCTTAAAATATCAATTTGAAATGATTTTATTTTTAATAAAACAATTGAGTGAAAATCATATGTATAAATTGACGGTAAAAAAAATGAATTAGTACAGCTTCGTCGAATTTTATTGTCGCCGACGACAACTTCGCCAAATAAAAATCTTGACCGAAAAATATCGAATTAAATTTGATCCATTCTAGATATAGAATTTTATCCTAACTAACTACTTTGATAGTGACTTGATTAATTAACCCCATCTGACTTGGTAACACACACCCACACCTACACCTGTTGGCATCTGCTTGAACAAGGCAACAGATATAATTGACTTGGTTACCAAGTCAGATGGGGTTAATTAATCAAGTCACTATCAAAGTAGTTAGTTAGGATAAAATTCTATATCTAGAATGGATCAAATTTAATTCGATATTTTTCAGTCAAGATTTTTATTCGGCGAAGCTGGAATTTACCAAAAAAATGACGTCATTCAAATGTAACCATTACTTTGAAATTACAAATTGGATTCACTAAATAAATATTCGATTGATAGAACTTCAGTTTCTAATACATTTTCAAATGAGTACAGATCGAAAATACTATCTCACTTCTTTTAAGCATACTTTATTCATATTAGAGATTGACAAATCGTAATACCACATCACTTACCTCCTACTCGATCATCCAGCTGGACGGAGATAAAACATGACGAAATTTCGTAGTTTCTTTTGAAGAACTTATTTTTTATTTTTAAAAACCAAGCTAAATCTATACAAATCAGTGACTTTGATTCATTTTATTGCATTTTGAATAATGATCTAAATACATTTTTTTACTGCATTTTGAACTCATGAAAATAACAGTTATGTAACGTATTTTTAGAATGAATTAAACAGAATTTTCATACGTTTGCAGTACGAGATTGATGACGCTTAGTACTAGGATCAAATTTTTTCTTGACCTTCTACAAAGTAATTCAATGATTCGTGCAGGTATTCGATACAAAATTTGAAATAGTGTACAGGACATTTCAAAACTATACGAGATGCTATCAATTTTGTAGAAAATATATGAATTATTCTAAGAAACTGATGCTAAATGTTCGAATCGAACGGTTCACAAACTGTCCGATGTGTGAAAATACTTTATAATTATCTCGAAAACCGCTCAAGCATTACTTGAAGTTTGTGAACAATGATTGGAGCACGAAAAAAATTCAAGCTAGTTCGGATTTTGATAATTCCAAAGGCACCCTCAAGATTTATTTTTAGAATATCTCAAGCCAACCATCTTTTAACTTATTTACTTCAATTTCATTTATTTATCTTAGTAAGCTAATGTGCTCCTTTTTATACGACAAGAAGATGTACGATGATCGTATTGAACTATGTAAGCTACTGTATCCCTACGAGTATCACTATTTGCAACTAGCGGCGTATTCGAACTCAGTAACGTGATGATCAATTGTTGACTTTTTTCCTCAAACAACATCTTCTAGCTTAACTATATCATACCATATACATGTAGAAATATTTACCATTGACAAGCAAACGCAGAATGATCTTGAACAATATAGAGAAGCGCTTGAAATTCGAAACTAGCTTAAAAAAAATAAGCTTACAGCCTTCTGATCGTTGCAATACCAAGATAAATGATGAAATTCACGAAAATGTGTTAGAACATTGTAAATCAAGAATTCTGATAATCGTTTTAATCTAATGAAAAGTGATCAAAATAGTAACATAGATGCCTTTTTGGACAGTGTTTAAAAATTTGCCTTACGAATGATTTTTTGAAAAGACAAAAGGACGAGATGGATTATCTTTTTGATTGTTTTTGTTTTTCTTTTCCGAAAGCGAATTCTGTAAGTTTATTAATTGGAGATAGATTATATAAGAAATAAGTATCTTTCAAAAAAATTGATGCGATGGTTGAAGAAATAGTGAAAGAGAAAAAAATAAAAAACATGTCGTATCAATATCAATTATAAATTATGGACAATAAATAACTATTCATTTTCATGTACATGATTTATTAAATTTGGTAATTAGAGAAATCTTCAAACTTTAATTCAGAACAAATTAACTAACGGTTCCCCGTAGCCCATACAAAAATGTAGACATAATGAAATAAACATCGATTAGTTTTTTCTTTAGAAAAACAATGTATTTTAATCAATTGTAATAAATAATAAATGTAATGATCTAATTGTGTGTCATTAGAAATGCTGATAAGAATTTTAAAAAATCACTTTAGGATTAATCATGATGCAAAGAATACATTTAATCGAGAGTTTCTATATCATCGTTTATATAATTTTTCTAACTTGCTCGACAGATTTTTCTTAATAAAGATACCTTTATCTTATTCTATTATTTATCGAACGTCTTCTTTCGTTATTAATGTTCAAATTCCTTTACGTTGAGTTTACTCATATGTTTATTGAATGAGAAACAATTTCATTCAAGCATTATGTTTGTAGATTCATTATTTGATAAGAGCACATTTTTGCTTGAAATATATATATATAAATATTCATTTAATTATTTTTTGTGAAAAAGCTCATCTTTTAAAAAAAAAAAAATTAGAAATGCTATACTTCAGTTCCTTCCTAAAAACGTTTGTTGTTATCAGTAATAGACATTTTTTAAAGACTAGATAACGTTTTAGATTGAAAAATCACAACTCATTTAACCAAAAACTTATTGTTTTTTTTCTGGAAATAGTTGGCGTTCGAATTCTTTCCTATCCTTAATTCTTTTTTAATGATACTTGCCGTTAATAAATACGATTGGCAATAGATTAGAAGAAATTCATTGAATTTTTTGAAGAGTTCAATTCCAAAGGCTTCTCTATGTATATTTGTTAACAAATGACTCTGTTTATGAGAAGTAGATGAATATCTATCACAAGTCGATTTAACTGATAAAATAATGTTCCAGCTATTTTAAGAATGATCCAAAGTAGAAAAATATCACGAGTAGTCTGATAAAAATGTCATATGAAATTTTGAATTCTAGTATTGATATTTTTTCGTGATGGTTAATATCGTTGAGGTAACGATGTTCACTTTTGAATAGAGTAGTCTCATCAATTTATTTATTTATCTCAAAATCGAAAGTTTAATTCGTGTACTTTAACTCAAGTTATATCATGATTGCAGGCTCTTTAGCTGAAATACTGATATCAACTGAAGTTCAAAAGTGTTAAATCATTCAAAATTTCCTCGTAAATTTCTTTGATTTTATGAAGAACACATGTAATTAAAAATAATCCAAATAAATAAAAAAATAATCAAAGCACCAGATAGAACGTTCAAAAGTTATGATGTTATTTTTAATATTTACTTGATTAAACAATGGAATTATAATGATTAATGAATGATGACAACAATAGATTTCACTATTCAATTATACAGAAATTCATTAAGTTAAAATCAAACAATAGACAACAAAGAAATTTAAAAAAATCAGACAGATGTTAAATATTCTGACTGAAAAAAATTTCAGCATTTTCTATTCATTATTCTTTCGCACTAGAACAATTTACAATATAACCATTGAAGTCTCTACTTCTTTTGAATTTCCCACCAGTGTTTTTTTTATTTAATTTTAGAAACAATTTTTATGAAGTTTTTTTTTCAAATTCCAACGTAATTTATCCTTATAAAATTGAAATTGAAACATCTATTTTCCACCAGTTGTACCCATACCCATTGCAGTCTTAAAAGTATCATAAATCCACCATTGAAAAGCAGTTAATGTTCCAATCATAAGAACTCTTGTTTTAAGACCTCTTGTGCATACATTAAGAAGACCAACATCTTGAATTATTTTTGTGATTGATTTTCCCTTATGTCTTGGTTTAGTCATTAATGAAATCATTGAATCACCTGGATGCGATACAATCGCACAAAGAAAACCAGCTAAATAACCTGCAGTAAATGTGATTCCTAATTGAGTACTTTTAGAATAACTTGCTTTCGGTTCTGTAAATACATGAGTGTATAACATTTGAACTGCCTAAAGAAATAATTGAAAATTAAAAACAAAAAAAAGAAATTCGTTTGCATAAATAATACTTTTTCAAAGAAATAAAATTTAGTAACAGTATATGGAACTTGTCTTGACCATAATGGTAAAATAGATCCATATGGAAATCTAGTTACTTTTCTATTGGTATGCATGTTAACAGTAGCTGGTATGAATGCTGTTGGGAATGTACCCGGTACACTTGTTTGAACTTTAACTTTAATCATTTCCATAGGACATAAAGCAATGCATGCACAAAATTCCGATGCTGCAGCTCCACTAAGCCAAACAAGTCCACGATATTTTTGAGCATTGTCATAGCCAACTAAATTTGAGAATGCATCTTTGAAGATTTCATAAAGACCAAATTTTAGAGCGCCTTGTGGAGAATAACCTAATACAGTAGGCGCCCATCCTTTCCATATAGCTCGGCTACCTTCTTCATGCATTATTGTTTTAAGACTACCAAATAGACTTGTGTATTTAAGTGGATTTACCTAGCACATTGAAAAATATGGAGAAATATTGATGAAAAAATGAAAATCATCAGACCTGCATATTACATTTGGTTACATCAAGAGGTGTTATAGCAAGATGGGTTGAACCACATGCAAGAGCACCTCCCATTAAACATTTCCCATAATAAATATTATTGTGTGGAATGAGTCCAGCTGTTCTCGCATTCCAATATTTATTATTTCCATCTGATAAATTATTTTTCCCCATTTTATTTACCTAAAATACTCCTTTAAACATTGACAAATGTTTAAAGATAATCATTTGATTCATTTATAATTTTAGTTTTAGTTTTACTTCGATAGAGCAAACTTCGTAATCATTAAAAAAGAAACGACAATGCAATACAAGTTACATTCAATAAACTTTGAAATTTACATGTAAGAGAGTAAACAAAAAAAGTGGCACACAATGTTCAACTATGGTAAAAAGGCGTTCACACGCTGAGAGAATTAACAAGAAAAAAAATTATAAAAGAAAAACACAATTACCATAAGCAAATTTCTACCTTTCACTTGTAGCTCGACATTTTTCTAGAAAAGAAAAAAGAACAAAATATATCAGTAACGCTGGCAAAATTTATTGAAAGATTTTATTCTACGAAGAGTTTGTGTTTATTTAATTTATATAGAATTACATATACAAGAACTTGAAATTAAAAGTTATTTGAAAAACAAACTTTTTTTTATTATCTAAATAAATGTTAAATACTAAAAGGAACGAAAGACTATTTTATATAAGTTGCATTAAGTAGGATAAAAAATCAATGAAATGTTATGTTTTGTTCGAACCGTTCGTCGTTCTATTGGTGATTCTTTAAAACAAAATCTATTAAATAATACGTTAAATGAAAATACTATTCACAGAATCAAAATAAAAACAAAATAAAATGAGACTATTATTCATTAGTACAAAATATCTAATTCACGTGATAGCTTTTGACAAATCGCGTTTTTTGCATTCCACTAATGAGTCTTGATAATTTCTCGTTTGATAATCTCGATAGATGATTAAATTTATCACAATAATATCATTAGAAAAATAATTACGACACTGTAGTTATAAAATTCGCATTTGTTAAACTATCCTTGATGACCCGCTGGCCTCTATATAACGTCGACACTTTGTAATGCATCAATCAGAACGACGAACAAGCAATCTAGTTCAAGTGTATAGTTTTAACGCAGATATACGGAATAGAGAATGTCGCTTCTGTCGTTCTTGGATAATTACTGACTAGTGAATCGAATTTTTTTCACAGAGTATCAGCCATTGTCACTTACTTATCTATGTCACCTGTAGATTCCATAGATCTTGTGGTATTACTTAATCTAAGGGTTCAATCCCTCTGCATTTAAATTATCTATATATATATCGATGATGTAAAGCGATTATAGCGCGACATATCTGTCACTTCAATGGTTCAGTTGTGATCTTTCTTGATTGGTGCATTAAATAAGAAGATTGTTAGCCATCCAATCACCTCGATAAACAAAATAAACCGATCGAGTTTCAGAATTTTCCTATAGTAATTCTCATAAAAATCATCAATAGAAAAAAAGACAATTTCCCAGCTCATTATCGATCAGTCGGATCTTGTCGGACGGGTTAATTCCGATATCACATGGTGACCGGATTCGGTCGGTAAATTTCTGGTGAATTCCGATTGTTTTCTTATGAAATCTGGTTACCGGATTCTCCGAGAACCGGCCAGATTTACACTGTCAGAAAATATCAAGTCAGATGATACGATTGAGCTGTATACGACGTGATCCGGCAATATCCGGTAACAAAATTTTACCGGAATCCGCCCTGCCGCATGACGCTCGATTTCATGGTTGATCCAGGGTTACCAAATTCAAATTTTAGAAAACAGGAGTTTTTCAGAAGAAATTTGTTCGTAAACCAGGAGAAAAATCAGGAGTGGTTTTTTGACACTCAACAGTCATCGGGTGGTCTTTATCTGACAACATCCAATTTTTCACTAATCGACGCATTAAACTCTTTTCCTATAATGAGATTAAGGCTGAAAATTTCCTTGTAGGTGAATTAGAATTGAAAATAGAATGCGGACTTCATAAATTTTATTTAAATAGGTAACTAAAACGTGCTCATTAGAATAAATAGTAAAAAATACTTAACCAATTTACTCAGCAATTCATAGCAGTTTGGTGACGTGACTCTACTTATCTACCGATTGAATATTTCTTCGAAAGATCTGGTTCATTTAAAAGATAATGATAAAATTGTATGAAAGTGAAATGGGCAGTGTTGGCAGGTTCCCACATTTTGCCGAAAAATTTGGGATTTCTAAAGTTTTTCCGAATTTACAGAGCTTTTCTCGATTTTTTCTAAATTTTGAAAAACAACTCTGGATTTTTTTTGATTTTCGAGGTTCAAATCGAGTAACATTGTTGGAAGCCAAGCAAGAAAAGTCTGAAGTCATATAGACACAGAAATACTTAGAAACATTCATCAGAATCCATTGGATTCTATTGGGATCTATTGGGATCCGGGGCCCGGTGTCCGCTTTTCCCCCCTTACAATGAATAGAGTTCAATGGACTGATAAAAAAATCCGGGTAATGATGTACTCTCCACTTTAAAAAGTCGCCATTAAACCCTTCAAGGGTTTATTCCGATGCGATGAATTCTTTTAGCGTTTATTAGTCGAAGGGTTCATGACGCTATGGGCTTATGAAAACTCAAGGGGTATATGATGGGTATATAAGGATTCATTATTCTACGATTTTAAGATAAGATTATATCCTGCATTCCGCTACCATTTCCTGCTAAGGGTTTAGTATTCCAAGTTCAACAGTTGATTCATCTACATCTTAATAAAAAGGTTTTCATACTGTACATGAATGCTCGATTGTATGCCTCTGTATTGACAGGTTTTTTTTGTTCTACTGACAATGACAAATATCGGCTTATCTACCTTAGCATCTCAAGGGATAATTTCATCATCGGTTGATGGTTGATTCTACTTCTCTTTTGTTGAAAGAAGTTCATTGTTCATCATACGGGGTTGATCTTTCCGCTCTTTCGTGAGAGGGTTTATCATTCTACGTATAGAGATCGATTGTTCTACTGTTTGACCATAAAGATTTATTACTCTACGCACAGGGGTTGATTATTTTAACTTTACGTCAAAAATGGTTTCTTAGCGTGTCGGTGTGAGGGTCTGGGTCTGGTTAATGTTATTTTGTACAGTCACCCACGCGCTAACTTGATGAAAAGAAATAGTAAGATGCCCATCGTTTCTTTTGCACTGGTCACAACTGAAAGGAAAATATGAATCACTTATGTGGTGAACGTGCATTGTACATGAAACAATTTTTTGATATGCGAAAATAAGACGTAGCGAGATTAGAGTCACACTTCATCGACTCAGGTAAGCATTTAATGTTAGAAAAAAAGATGAAGTATGTAACGCCTATTTATGCAAAGTAATACCTCTTGCAGACTCACATTAAAAATAAGCATTTTGGTATCAGCTGGCAAGTAGTCTTAATTGATCATCAATATTTTTACAATATAGCCATGTCAATAATAATGACAACAAAAATGAGGAAAGATAAACATGCATTTTTGTGTTTAATATGAAGATATTGAAAAAACTGAGATAGAAAGTGTTACAGAGGCTCCGCTGTAACTTAAATCAATTCACAAAATAGAAATTTATGTTTCTATTTAACCAATCAACGACAAATTTCCTATTTTCGATTCCTAATCTGAATCTTAATCTTTTCTTTATTATTCTTTTTTTTCCTGTTTATACTATACAATCCACATACACACACAAGAGAGGGAGAGAGAGAGAGAGAGAGAAAAGAAACAAAGGAAGAAAAGGCATTTGTTTCTTCGACTAGACTATTTTGTATATGAAAGATGATGGTGCAACATTCTATAAATCGCTTAAATTCCAGTCGAAGAAACAATGTCATTATTTACGTCGTCACGCACGGGAGGAAAGAGGATACAATAGAGAGATATGCAGAGAGAGGAAAGAAAGAATGAAAAAGAGTGATTGACGTGTGTACATCTCGAATTGGATTGCACATATAAGAAATACATAACGTATAAGAATGAAACAAGAATGTATAAGAATAAATAAATAAATAGCTTGTTAGAGTACTCTCTAACACCTTCGATAAGGTTTATGAAAATGCAACGTATGATACACCCTTTTACAGTTATTCAGTCGTATAAACGCTATGATAAATCTTTCGGCACGCGGTATATTCACTTGATATACCTTTTTATTTCGTCTTTTGATCAGTAGATACAAGGGCTTATCGCATGCTGCTAAACGGTAGAAAAAGGTATATCATGCGTTGCATTTTCATAAACGCTTTAAACGTTTATCATTCGGCGCCTTTTTTTTTATTAGTGTAAGGTTTTTCACGTTTTAAATCCAATATAAGATCTGATGAAGGCCAACTGTAAGCGACATGTTTCAATTGGTACCCAACAGACGAAACAAGCTTCATGTCCTGAATTCCTTGGTAAGTTCATAACTTCAATTTTCATAGAATTTTCGCTAGTCAACTAAACCAATTACATGTCATGAAATTTATTTTAATAGATACATGTAAGATAATATACTTAAGGAAATCCTTCTTATTTTAAATGCATCATCCTTCAGCTCTTTTTCGTGCAGCGATAAAAGAATCGATTATACCCGACGAAGTGAAAATTTCGTTATTCTTCGAACGATTAGAAACTATCGAGATGCTTGAATCTTTCTGCTATTCACACAGGATCGAAGCAACAAGAAACCAAAGATATACCAATTAATGATGAAAAACTCTTTGGGATTGATACTGTATAGATTATTCATTGGATCCCATACTGCCAACCATAACCTACTACTTTTCGCAATCAAGTACAGCATTCAGTAGCATTGATTCGGAAATGAATCAAAACCTCCAGCTTCATTGAATATTTAGACGATGAACTTCATCCGTAATAGCCTAGCATGAGCATATATAGTTATAACTCATCAGAAAGTTCCCGAGAGTCAGTATGGAAGCACGAAAATGTACCCATTGTTCTTTTTTGTGTACTCAAAAAGTGAGCACACTCTAGAATCGGTCAGTGTGTCTGGCGGTCCGGCCACCCGTTTACACGATAACTTTCGAAAGGAGAGTTAGATCATGATGAAATTTTCTACACAGTTCAGCCTCGTCCATGTCTCAGTCGAGTTCGAAGATGAGAAGGATCCGTCAAGAAATGGTTGAGTTATCGAAAAAATTGTCATTATTGACCAGACCATCCCTGAGGGGGAGTACAGGGATTTTTCAAGAAAACGTTTTTTTCTCAGAATTATCCACAACACATATAAATCGACTCAGTTTTTAACGCTGATTTTGAATCTGATATTAGTTTTGAAACAATCGTAGTTTTCTAACGAAACATTGAGTGAAAAAAAGTCTCAAAATACACAAAACTGCATCTAGAAACGAAATTGCCTAGATATGTCTCAGATGACCAGCAGCTTGGGAGCTTCTCAAATGACTGGCTTTGTTGCTAGTCAAAAGGGCTATCGAAAGGTAAAAACCCGAACTCGATAGCTATTACTATTGATGATTTATTATGAAAATACTGATGCTGGTATCTATCATATATCTCTTATAAATTCATGAGGTTGTCTACGATCGTAATCCTGCTAGATACAAACACAAAACCATTCAAAAATAACTGTTCTTATCCAGTTTTTGAAGCTGAACACGAATCTGAGTTCAATTTCTGTGATCTCTAAAGATATTATATCACTCTGAGAATAGAGTCAATGACCACTGGATAGAGTTGCATACAGTGCGGTCCATGCTAACTTAGCATGCCTGTATTTTCTCCTTGTAATTTAGTGAGAAGGGATGTATCTTGATGAGATCTATGCCTTATAGAAAAAAATGGATGTACATTTTCGCTTTTTGAAGTACACATAACAATCGGATGCAAATCCGATGTTTCCGCATTTATTTAACTTATTCTTACCCTAGTGGTCAATATCATGTAGGTACCTGTATGAGACTTGTGAAACGTAACTTGCTATTTTATACATATTCTATCTTCTGAAGAAGTGAATTTTAGAATTTAAGAATACTTCCAAAAGTAAAGTGGCGGAAAAAAGTTTAAGGCACCTTTTGTTTTTCCATTTTTTCCATTAAAGATTAAGTATTTGACAAATCCGAGTAGTGCGTTTGATAGCTCTCAGAAAGATCTACAAGCCTATCGTAATAGAAAAATTAGTCGCACGTTGCCTTAGGTATTTTTTAGAGAAATTATTTTAGCCCAGCGGAAAAAAATTTAAAGCATTTTTCAAAATATTGTCTTTATTTTTATTAAACAAACAAACAATACAATAAATTTCAAAGAAAATGTCCTTCTTTGGCTTTTAAACATTTTTAAATGCGTTCTGGCATCGACTCGACCAATTTGATGCATAGATCCTTGTCGATATTGTTCCATTCTTCTTGGAGACGATCGATGAGAGCTGCTTTGGAATACATGGGCTTTGCAACCAATTTTTTGTCTAGAATAGACCACAGCATCTCTATCCGATTTAGATCCGGACTTGTTGGAGCCCATTCAAGCATATTCAACTTCAACTTGACTATTTTTTCCTTCACTATATTCGACGTATACCATGGAGCCAAATCCTGTTGGAATACCATTTTCGCTGTTGTTGGTGTTTTTGCCAAAAACTGCTTTACTTCTTTTTGTAAAACATCACAATACAACTGTCCATTCATGTTTTCAGTATAAATCCTTGTATTGGTTGTGCATACGTCTGAAATACCACCCCAAATACCAACCTTGCCGCCATCACCAATATTCGTTTGTTCTAAGCATTCCAGCAACAATTTTTCTTTGTCTAATCGCCAAGTTTTGCGCTGATTCTTTCGTTTTAAAACATAAAACGTTGATTCGTCTGAAAAAATCACGTTCTTCCAGTCATCACGAGTCCAATTCATATGCTGTGTACACCAGGCCATTCGTTGTTTACGATGTTTGACACCTAACCACTGCTTTTTGACTTTAACCACATCTTCAAAGCCAAGTTCCTTTAAATAGTTGCGAACTGTTCGTGTTGTAATGGGTTTTGGCAAACTAGCATTAAGATCCGTAGCGATTTTCGCTGCACTAAGGCGTTCATCGCCTTTAACCAATCGTTTCAGATGTCGAAGACCGCGACCATCAACCTTTCTAGGCCGTCCTGAACTCTTCAAATCATTGTAATTACCTTGATCTTTGTATTTCTTGATTGCATTTTGTGCACAGCATCGGGAAATGTTCAGTTGTTTTGAAATATGGACCTGATTGAAGCCGGCATCATGCAAAGCTACCACGTGAGCTCGCACAAATGGAGAAACTGGTTTTTTACCCATAAAAGTTTGCGTAATTGTGAAACAAACCAAAACTTATCGAATAGAAGTGATAAAAACAGTATTTTCCTTTTTTGCCTTGTTGAACCAAGCAGAGGCAATGCTTTGTGCCTTAATCTTTTTCCCGCTCAGCTAAAATAATTTCTCTCAAAAAACCTAAGGCAACGTGCGACTAATTTTTCTATTATGATAGGCTTGCAGATCTTTCTGAGAGCTATCAAGCGCACTACTCGGATTTGTCAAATATTTAATCTTTAGTGGAAAAAATGGAAAAACAAAAGGTACCTTAAACTTCTTTCGCCAATTTATTTGATTACCAGAGTATATAAAATTTCAGGAATGATCCAAATTCAGATGTACTCTCTGAAGAAACCGGCAATCACTATTATACTGTATTATCTTTCATTTACTTAAATAGAAAAGTATGTTCAAAGCGTAATATGAATGAAAATATTCTTTTCCAGGAGTTTCAACATTGCTGAGTCGTTAAAAGATTTTTGACTAAGGAAGAAAATAAAGTATGCCTTCATTTAGTGAAGCCTTTGAATAAAAAATTGTCACAACAAAAAGCAAAAAGTTTTTAATAATCAGTTAAATATTTTCTAAAATGCTCATCTCAATCCATCTGAACTGAAATATTAAACGATTCTGCGAAAAACTTTCGATTATCTTGAATTTGGTCGAAAGCAAAAATGTTGAAAAGAAAAATGTCGAAACTGAGGTAATACTTCCATACATTTTTTTTCTTGGTGAAAATGAATCAGTAGACTTAATTAAAACAAAACGTTTATTATTAAAAGAAGACTAAAAGACAGTCTAAAGCTTTTTTTTAGAATGATTGTTAATCCATCTTTAAACAATGTTCTATCTGATTGATTAAAACTTATTTTTTTGCTACAACTAAAGACAAACTTTTAAGGAGTTCACATGCTGTAATGAGATAGTTGCTATATACACTGTAAAAAAATTCGTAGAATAATAAACCCAAAAAGGATTGATGAAAGTGCAACGTATAATAAACCCTTTTTACCGTATTTAAAACTACCCTAAACCTTTAATGAACCCTTTTAAATACGTTTTCCAGTGAGACAAACATCTAAAGGTCATTTTTAAAAAAGTATTTTAGATGTTACACAATCATTATTTTGCTATTATTCCAATTCAGTTTGCGTTTCAGATCGTATATATATACTTTCATAGATTTATAATTAATTGAGTGATGTACTTACTGTTGTTACCTGGGTTCGAACATATGATGTAATTCATGATTGTCTAACTTGTTATCCATTCGATCAGATTCGCGCCCAAGTTGCATACCCAAGTCGAACAGTACGGTCCGTATACGGCCGTTGACGGTTACTTTACGACTATTTTACGGGCGAGAGTTTGCCGTAATATCTGGCGCAGTAATACGGACCGAATTATCATGAGAGTACGGTTCAAGCAGCCGTAAACCATGAAAATTCAGTCCCGTTTACGGTGCCGTATTACTGCGCCAGGTATTACGGGCAAATACGACCTATTTACTGCCGTAAATATACCGTTTTGACATCGTTTACCATCGATTAACAAACCGTAAACGAGTCCGTTTTGATCAACCGGGGTAGTATGAAATGTACTCTTAAATTAAACGATGTTCTTCTGAATAGACGCTTCCTGTTTTGATGAAGAAATCGGAATAATAGATGTCTGTACCGCTTATTTATTTGAAATTGAATGATATTTTTAAAATATTATTAAAGTAGATCGCTTAAATTTAATAGTTCATATTAACTCAGGTGAATCAATCCGATACCGAATCCCATCGGATTCTATGGGGTCCTACCATCCGACAAAATCCCATTGGATTCCTGGTTGAGGAATCAATGTCGGATCCGACAGTCGTATTTCCAATGATATCCGATTGTCGGAACCAATGAAATCCGAAGCATTCCGGTTCCGATTGACGGTTACTGTCGGATTTTATTAGTTTCCGATATTAGGATCCGATATCAATTCCGGAACCAGGAATCCGATGATAATCCGATAGTTTCCTTGCGCCTTCCGAAGAGCTCCACCGGATTCCAATAGGAACCGATCGGAACTCATCGGATCCTAGGCTAGGATTCATTCTCCTGGGTTACAGATATATCGATATTTAAAAGTATATTATATATTTAATAAATTATTTAATTGATAGGAATTACTTGAAATAAATTTTGAATAATTTTTTGAATTTTTTGAGTTTTTTCTTTAGGGACTGAAAAGTAACGCTTAGAAATGTCTAAATTTTAAAAGAAAAATATTGTGAAAGATTTAGTATTCTGACTTCTTTTAGAACACTTCAATTTTCGAAAACTTTATATTGATTGATAGTACTGTTCTCGATCGAAATATGTTTGTTTTTTGAAATAACCACCGGAGCAAAATATTTCAAGTGATAGTGAGAGAGCGCTTTGTTGAAAAGTTAGAATACTTAACTCTTGATCGTAGAATAATAAACGCTTTTCATGAAAGAGTAGAGCAATAAACCCTTAGTTACGCAAGGCAAAACGTTTTTTGTGAAAAGACACAGGTATGAACCTTTCATCGTAGAATAAAAGATCCTTTCCATAAAAATTATAACCATAAACCCATAACCGTAGAAGAAGAAACCCTTTTTATGAAGGGTATATTGGCGAACCTTTCTTCTTCTCGGCATAAACCCTTTTTTCATTTAAAATACCCTTTTATCAAAAACCCTTAAAGGGTTTATGCGGTTCTCCTAAATCTTTTAAGGGTTTAGGAAAAAATTCCGAAAGTATTAGGGTTTCTTGTTCTACGAATTCTTTTACAGTGTAGGTGCTATCGAGTTTGCCTATTTATCTTATTTGAAAGTGGATGATTTCTGCTTTTGCGTTGATTTAAAATAGACTATAGTTTTCTTCATTGCTCGTGTTCCTTGAGCATAAGATGGCAGCGTCTAAATATATCGTATTGGTGTCAAACCTGAAATTTGAAGTAATCATGGAAAACGTACTCAAATACTCAATTATTGAATAATTGAAACAAAGATATTTAGATATTCAGATATTGTTTCTGTCCACATCCTCAAGTATATCTGAATATCTTTACTTTAGATACTCAATACGTGAAGTCAACTCTCAGGTTTGACATTTATGGAGTTTTTATGAGTCAGAGGACACTGGCTTACGGATCTGTTTATCCTATAACCTTCATATCTCCATATTAAATGAAGTTAGAAAACTCAAACTTTCAAAAACTATAAAGAGTAATAAGAGGTAGCTGTAATAAAAATCTCATGAAAATTGGGTACGAGCATCTAATTTTATTTAAATTTCACGCTTGCAACTAACTCATATTTTATATTAAAAAGAATGAAGCTCAAACACAATCAATATAGGTATACTACATGCAGTATTCCCAATTTTTAAGATAGGCACACTTATTACAGTTAACATGTCCCCATATTTCGAGCTGGATTCTGAAATTCATTTCTGAATCTTTCAACCGCAACTCCAACTAAAGATGGATATATTTTATCTGCTCCTGTTCGTCTTACTCAATAAAACGTATTCCATCAAAGTTTGCTGATAACGATTGTCTTAATTTTCAGGAGACGGGAACTTATCATCATTTCTACCTCAATTGTGGCTCTACTTACCTTGACGAGATTTATAATGGAACATACGCTGGTATAAAGTCCAAGTAGTTTGCATAATTTGTCAGAAAATGTTTGCTGGATTCACTGGCTATTGCTACTATTTTCGACGATACAAGAAATATTATTCATATATGATCGCTTTAATAAGTCTCTTTATCATTTTTCAATTTCGCATGTATCATTTTCTCATAAATGAGGACATAGATTTGCAACTGAATAAAGTTATAAAGACCGACTCGCATTCATCAACACCTATGATCTACCAGTATAGGTCGAGAATACTTAAGGAAAGTTATAATTATTCACATTTAGCGGCATGTGGAAGGCCTAATTATCCCGTTCGCAACTTGGTGTACAAAAATCAGTTAATCAATACGATTACCGTAGTACTGCAATCTCGCTCTTTAATGTATTGTCCTGTTCCAAAAGTAGCGACAAAAACTCTTCTCACTGTTATGCTTTATATGCATGTGCGTGACATCAGCGAACATCTCGAAAATAATTGGACAAATGTTGACGTTGCTAGAGCTCGAATGGAACAAATGATCGATATTTCTACATTCATCGAGGAGCTTCGACAGGTATGACAAGGAAATATTGATGATACTATGAAGGATTTTCTGATCTTTTATCTGGATATTTCACTTTAGAATGCAATTACAATCCCGAAAACAGAAGAACCGAAATCTCTTGCCGCGTTTCTTCGCATCTATCTTAATATTATCCGATTTGGTAGTATCAATGGGACGTCCTCTTCTCCACCTCTTAATCCTTGGAGACTCCGTTTCACATACGCATTTCCCTATCTTCGTCTACATAATCTCTCCAATTTATCTCAAATATTCTCTCCATCTTTCACTCGAATCATTTTCGTTCGTCATCCATTTGAACGTCTCGCGTCAGCTTATAAAGAAAGAATTGCAACGCTCGCACGGGATAGAATCCAGTCAGAACCCGATTACGATGCCATGCGCGAGATGATCTGTCGTCGGCGTAAGTTGGGCAGAAATTTTCGCCAACCATTAGAAAAAAGGGACGAATGCAAAGAGACTATCCCATCTTTTGAAGAGTTTATTCGATATATTCTTGTCAACACTAACAAACCTGCTGTAGTTGCTAACATGGAGTATCATTGGCAACCCTACTCACTACTTTGTCAAGTCTGTAAATTTAAATATAACTTTATTGGCAAATATGAAATGTTCAACGATCACTTTATTTATTTCCTCAAACGTTTCAATTTATCTGATTGGAATATTCAAAAGCCAAATGGTGCATCAGGTCTCACTAAATCGGATTATCAGAAGTTTTACTTTACCTTGCCAGACGAGCTAATCTGTCAGCTCATACGTCTCTATGATGAAGATTTTCGTCTATTCAACTATCGAGTAGATGATTATATTAATCGAACTACATTGATTCAAAATTGCAAGTGGCTGAGAACCTGATAATCGATCGCGATCGGCTGATCCAGAAAATGTTTTTCAGCTAATAGAAACTGGCCATTTTATTCGATAATTTTTTACTGATTAAAAGTATCGGTTTCAGACAAATTCTTCTTTTCTTGTATTTAAATTTTTATGAATCGTGACAAAGATAGGCTATACTTTGCTTCTTCAAATAATTATATAGGCTCTACAAAAAGAGAATGTAGCATTTCTTCAATACTACAATAAAAGTCATTCTCCGGAACCTTGTTTCCAAATTTCAATGGTTACTTCTTTTTTGGTCAGGTTTTATAGAACAATCAAATGCTTTTATGAAACAGATATCTACAAGCAAGTGTGTGGGTGTGGGTTTTGCAATTAGATAAGTGAGGCACAAGACACCCACACCCTCTAAGACGTAGATACAGAAACCACAGAATAAGTTTCTTTCTATATTCTGAGCGCAAAGTATCATTGAGAATGGTATACAATGAGTTTTTTTGTGGCACAGATTCGTATGTGTAGAGCATAATAGAAGCCGATTCATCAGTCGTTAGACTATCTGCTGGATTTTTACAATTTTGTTTCACTATGAAAACATTACGTTCGGCTTTAGGTACTATGCCAACAAGAGGTTTTACTGCCTCCTCGAGAGATACAACCGGCATATCTTCATAGCCTTCAATAGGAGCTAACATTCGATTTGGTAATACACCCAAAGCAGCAAAGCGAAGAGAAGAACTTGTTTTTTTCAGAAACGGTAGTAGCCATTTGAAATGTGTTAATCAAAAACACACACACACACACACACATCATTGGACTCATGAAATATTTCAAGTAAGTTCTTATGAGAATAGCTTATTCGACATGATCATGTGGGTGTGGTTATTTTGTCAAATTTAGAGAAGATCCTAGCATATGACAACCGTCTCGGCTGGATTTACAAGGGGTGTGGGCGTGAGTGAGGTTCCCTTGAGTGAGAAAGTGACTGTCATCATCATTATCATCACTATTGCGCCGTTGTCGTTTTTTCTGATTCATATTGGATGAATTCCAATGTAGAAAAATTTAGTATAACCGCAAGTAACACGATTTCTTTGAATTTATAGAGAGAAAAACTAAAAACGTACACTTATAGATATACTCAATCAGACAAAATCGATGGCAGAACGCATTTTTACTTTTTGAAAGCAAAATATTTTTCTTAAGAAAAGCAAACCTGACGACGATAATATTTGCAAACTGGCATTTTACAAAAACTAGTCATTTTTTACTATTTTTTCAGCGTAGAAAGCGTACATGTTAAGATGTAAAAAATAACCCCATGTCGCACAAACCGATCGAAAACCGTCGGTTAACCGCGGTTATTTAAGCCATTTTTGCGACTTTACAGCGTAAAAACCAACGGTTAACCGCGGTTAACCTCCCAGTTAACCGAATAAGTCATCGGTTATGTCGCTAGCTGGCGGTTATTTTTCCGGTTAACTGGGAGGTTAACAGCGGTTAACCGTTGGTTTTTACGCTGTAAAGTCGCTAAAATGGCTTAAATAACCGCGGTTAACCGATTTTTATAAAAATTGACCGCGGTTAACCGACGGTTTTCGATCGGTTTGTGCGACATGGGAAGCCCTTGTCTCAGTGGTTTGCAAAAGTTTGTTTTCCTTTACATATATATATATATATATATGAATCATACGGAATAAAGTAAAGCTATGTTGGCAAACAATTGTTTGTGTTGCATTATATGGCTACGGTGCAATAACAAAAGAAATAATGATCGCGTCTTATGAAAGGGCATAGGGATTGGTATGGGATTGAATGAATTGAAAGTCCACACCCACACTCATTTTACCAATAATGATTTAGTAATTCAAAGATTTTCTTCATGAAGTAAAAAAGAAAGATACAATTCTTCGAGTTTATAATCATTGGTAGAGAAAAATGCCTTCTTAACTTTAGGATTTAGATTTTGAGAATAATCTTTGGGTTTTGCATATAAACAATAAATTGCCGAAGTGGGATAAATCTAATTTAAACAATATGTCAAAAGTCCTTATGTATCTTGGAGAAATCAATAGCAAAAATAAAAAGATAACTCAGTTATCCAATTGTAAATCGAATAGAGTACGATGACTACGTTTTCTTAAGGGTTCAAACATATGAACTTTTATCTAATATATGACACTGTTCGTAATGTAATGTCCATTCTCATAGTCAGTTTACACTTGGTAATGAAATTATACTAATCTAACAAATTTGCTTTAATATGTATAATCCTTTTCTATTTCTTCTCAGACACCTTTGATGCTGAACTCTTCAGGTCATGGACTAGGAGATACGATGATACAGTACCTTGTTGCAGGATTACAAAACTGCAATGTAATCTCTTTTCTAAACTTAATACACCTATTTTCATATTTTTTTATTCACATAGACCGTGATTCACCTTAGGTGAACAAAATCACAGATACGGGTGTAACGATAAATAAGACTCTGCTGAGTTTATATCGTATTGACAAACTGGGTAGAGGTGGAGTAGCTTACAGCCACTCACGGCAATGATGTTTATTCGTTTATTCACATATCCAGAGTGTAACGACAAAACTAGAGTGTCGCCTATGCCCGTCGGCATGATGGTGTATTGTGTCATCTGACATCTCCAGAATGTCACAACTTCATACATAACACACGTATATATAGGAGAGAGATAGAAGAGAGACAAGAGAGAGAGATATTACACCAATGGAAAGAGAACAGAAGGAAGAGGAAGGAGAATCATCGAAGCGTGCAATCAATATCGGCACATATGGCACTCGTAAAATAACAATTCATCAAATGTATTCACATTGTAATTCAATAAAAGATATTACTCATAACTGTTAAACAAATCTTCTCGTGAAACCTCGATCGGACATTATATCTGTAAAAGAAAACTTAGTATTTTTTTTAATAGAAAATGGTTTGATGACACTATGAATTCATCTTTCTGTACGTTTAACCATATCCCTTGATCAACTTACATCTAATAGTCAAATTCGCATGATATATGTACGATCCATTTACAACATTTCTGTTTTCTATTTGTATTCGTTTCAATTTTGTTTTTCATCAATCGAATAAAAGCCTCTACCTAAACATTTAGGATTTCATAATATCAATTTTATTGTTCTCTTGAAAAAGAATAAAAAAACAAGTATTTACAATGGAATCAGAGGTGAATAACATTGAAATTGACTGAATAATTGATTCTTGTTTTTTTTTCTCTGACACCTCTAAATTCCCTTTCGTATGTACTCTTGGAGAAGGTAAACGTATTTAGAGTAATACTTCCTCATCGCGACAATATAAATAATCAAATAGCTATACTTTTATATTTGACGAAAAAAGGTCGATTATTTCATGCGAGAAGATTTCATTTTGAAGACTATTAAAAATACAAATATCCCAGGAGAATGAATCCTAGCCTACCCAGGTTGATCAAAACGGACCCGTTTACGGTCTGTTTATCGGCGGTAAACGATGTCAAAACGGTATATTTACGGCAAACTTTCGGTCGTAAAATAGTCGTAAAGTAACCGTCAACGACCGTATACGGACCGTACTGTTCGACTTGGGTAGGATCCGATGAGTTCCGATCGGTTCCTATTGGAATCCGGCAGAACTCTTCGGAAGGCGCAAGGAAACTATCGGATTATTGTCGGATTCCTGGTTCCGGAATTGATATCGGATCCTAATATCGGAAACTGGTAAAATCCGACAGCAACCATCAATTGGAACCGGAATGCTTCGGATTTCATTGGTTCCGGCAATTGGATATCATTGGAAATACGACTGTCGGATCCGACATTGATTCCTCAACCAGGAATCCAAGGGGATTTCGTCGGATGGCAGGACCCCATAGAATCCGATGGGATTCAGTATCGGATTGATTCACCTGGGTAGTTATTCAGATGTCGATTTATATTCGAAGTCGAACTAGGCATCTCATGGTCACAGACTGTTACAGAGAAAATAAATAATTAATTAATTAATTTCTCTGTAACTGATTGTGGGGAGGGGGGCAGGGATGGGTCCCAATTTCTACCCTATATACTTCAACATTCCTTTCAGACTGTGTTTCACAAAATACTAAGATTATGAAAAAATATAAATTTGTTCAAGACATTTGTTGTATCAAGCGGTAGTCTGAATAAAATAAATAATAAACACTTGTGTGACGAAGCTTTGTTATATTTCGTATCTATTCTACTGGCTATTAATAGAGACAACTTCTCTAGAACATGAGTATGCGACATACAGTGGTAGTATTGATATTTTGACCTCAAAAGTTCTCTGTTTAATATCGAAATTTGCATAGAAAAAAATCACAGAGTATTTATTTCTCTTTTTTTATACCTTGTTTGATAAAAAGAACGTATTAAAAATAAATAAATGTCTCAATTAGAGGCTATTCCAAACATAGATAAATTTATTTTTAAAATGCCTTGATCATATTTAAATATCTTTCTTACGACTTCAATATTTAAATAGATAACAATTTGTCATATATTAATCATATTTTTTATTAATTTAGCTGCCCTTCAATTATTGGTATAAAAAAATCAATGAATGCCACATTGAATTTTTAAAAACAGATATATAATTCAGTAGAAATCAGAATTGTTTTATCGACACATTATCAGTTCATATTTCAACCTTGTTTTTCGGTGAAGTATTTAAACTATATTGATCCGTACTATTGTCACAAGAAACAAGTTACAAGAGGGCTCAACCTCTGACCATGTCTGTAGAAGAGATTGAGGTTTCTTAGATAGATCCAAGTCCGTATTTAAGTGGAACTCCATCATTGATTATCAATTAGTATTATCCTTCAATCAGAAATAATTTTAAAAAAAAACATAATTTTTACATACTAGCAAAGTATATTACTTCTAAGCTTATGAAACTTAATTATTTTTAACGCCTATCTTCAATATAAATTCCTCAATGCGAATCATTAATTTAGAACATACTTCGAAGAACAATTATTTTTATTTAGATATTTCTTAATCATTAATATTCCATAATAGAAGTTCTTCGTTGTATGCAGGATTATTTTTCTCATTCCACCAAATAACATTCGAAAAAAGAAAAAAAAGAACGGAAAGTTAAAATGAAGGAAAGAAAAACATGAAAAATAGTACATTAAATTAAAAGAAAAGTGTATCATAAATTATAAAAGACGATAGAAGTTTATTTGAATTTTTTCATTTCAAGTTTGAATTTAGCAAATTCAAAATCGAAAATGTATTTGATAAACTTGAAGCAAGAAGAAAAGAAGCGCGAATGATAATCTAGACCAATCCATAATATAAACCATATCGCTGTCCCCCATCTACATGACATGCACAAATATTATTTACACATAACAGTACATGTTAAATACAATTTCACAAGCAGCGCGAGAAAAAACCGAAAGAATGAAGAGAAATCACTTTCTAATTAAAGAAACACAAGAAGAGTAAAGATGCACAAGACGTCACTGTTTAAGACACATTTTAGTGAATGAATATTTGGTGTAGAATAGATTTACCATGAAAGAAGTTGTGATAACATAAAAATGTAACAAACACAACGATGAATGTTAATAATAATATTGCAGTATTTAATTATGAGGATTATTTGCTGCATCCTAAAAAATATAAATTAGTTGGAATCAATATTGATGAAAGGAGAAAAAAGTATGAGCAAGTATTAAAAAATTCTCATGCTGCAGGCAAATAAAAAAAAAACGAGTATTAAAAATCACTACATTTCTTCGGTGTTAGTTATACAATACAAGGTTAGAAAGGGAAAAGCAGTAAGCTTCTTGTTACCAAATTCGTGATTACCTACAAATTATGGTGATTGTTAGATATGGAAATCATCTTTGCTTTTTATAAATCTATTTTTCTATGAGCCTCAAGATTTAAAGATGTTACGTACGCTTTGATCCCATCCAGCCTCTTCGCCAGCCATTTGATAGTGTTGTTTTCGTAATTTATATAGTTGTTGTTTGGCTTGTTCTAATGCTTTTTCTAACTCAAGAACTTTAACTTGAGCATCCATTTCTTTGCGTTTCGTTGTATGAAGATTTAATGAGCTGAAGTCCATTGTACCTGAAAACAAAAGTTTTGAAAATGCTAACGATATTTCAACGTCGAATGATATAGTACAGCTGCAAGTATTATTCAAAATAACTCTATCGAATACATGTTTATATTCTGATTTTCTTCTATTAAAATTATGGTAGTTTTTTGTTTGCACATGAAATATAGTTCGAATAATATAGAAAGAAAATTGACTTAAGACAAACTCTTACTCTTTTCTTCAATAATCGAAGCACAATTTTTCGCTGTCGCAACAACTTGTGCAGTTGATGTATTAACTGCTTTAGATGCATGTGTAAGCGCTTCGCGATTTTTTGATTCACGATCAGCTTTAACCTATTCATAGAAATACAAAAAGTTTCAACAAACTAAACAACTTTTGCTTTCCTACATTTGATGCTGCAACAAGTTGTGCTGTTGCTGCTGCTATTTCTTGTGAACAGGCTATAATTTCTTCAAATTTACCATTACCACTCAATAGACGATCAGCCGAGTCACTAGAAAAACACATAATAAAATGATTCTTTATTTAAAACCAATAAAAATATTTCTTTATTGAAAGGGAAGGGACAGAGAAAACGTGCTCGTGCAAATCATATTGATATTAAAAATATGACATATATATATATGTATAATCGAATTCATATCCCGAAGTAGAGAAAAAACAATGTCCCGATAATAAAAATATTTTATCACTTCATTACATGCGGCATTCTCCTTTCTACGCACACACTCTCAAAATGGAATAACAAAAAGAAACACGGCAATTCAGTTGAACGCACAGGTCATTGTTGTTATCATCAAGAAAACAATGTGTTTTTTTACTATTTCAATGTACAAAGGAAAATCTACAATTAATTTTATTTCGAAAAACACGCACTAAAATAGTAACTTACATTAGCACTTTGGCGTTGACACCAACATTTTTAGCTGCTGAAACTAGACCCTCGGTCCACTTATGATTTTTCGTATAAAATTCGCGAGCAGTTGCAGTGCCCTATTTTTAAAAAAGAATAAAATTTTTCTATCAAAAACCTAATCAATAATTTTTACTCGTCCTTGAGAAACAATTTCTTTTTGAAGATCGCGTGCTTTGATAATTAAAACTTTGATTGTTTGCATTAGTTTACCACATGAATCAAGTATTTGTCCATTGACTTCACATTTAATACCGGTATCTTGTTCACGAGATTTCGTCATCATAGCCTGATAAATGCATAAGTATGTTTATATACTATTTAAAATTAAAATGAATCTATACTTCAAGTAATCGAACAGCTTCATCAATAGTTTCATGAGTTAATTGAAGTTCTTTTTCAACAAGATCACCAAGTTCTTCTTTACTTATATCCGATACCTTGAATGAAAATAAATATTAGATCAATGCTATTGTTTTTCGTGACTATAAAGCTATAGATAGTGACTTCAAACAATGGACCATACAGATTCTGTGTCAACCTTATGAACAGCTGTCAATAAGAATTCAAGGAAAATAATACTTTCGCAGTACTCCTAAAAAACTAGATTTTTAGCAAGCGGTATTTCAAAATAAATGCTATTTAGTCGATGAAGCATGATCGATAGTGGAATTGAAATAAAAATGCGTGTGATCAACTTTTCGAGGTAATGCATATACTTTAGGTAACAGAATTGTTGTCTTGTCGATAAGTGAATTTAAACGACGTATTAATTCGTTCGATTGTTTATCAAAATCAATAGATGCTGATGCTAAATTAAGAAGAAAACATTAGCTCGAATTTCGAATATAAATCATTACGGACGTGTTTGATAATTGGTGTAAAGATCAATACATAGAAGAGTAACCTCACGGCAATTGTCAGCTAAGCCCACACCTTGGTCGACGTCTTGTACAAGATTCGATGTTGCTTTCCCATGTACAACAACATCAACCATACAAGTAGCCAATGAAATGCATTCGTTCAGGAATGGAAGCATTGCAGCTAGAAATAGAAAATTTCTACGTTCTTTCTTTTGGCAATGAAGCAAAATCTTGTAAAGAATATAATAGGATAGCAATTTTTTGCCTATTAAAAATTATTATTTCGTTTTTCAAGGAAATCAAAGCGAGTTAAAATTGATTTAAAGAATTAGAATTATTTTCCCAAACTTATGATAATATGAGCATTTCAAATTTCGAAAAAGAATTCCATACAATACTTAGGGAAAGTTCAGTTTTAATTCACAAAATACATCAAATTCTTTTTATTATTCAATATACATATTTATTTTCATATATGCACAATTAATTTCCTCTATGTTAATATGAGAAGAAAATGTTCAACAGGATCTTTGTTAACAAGTCAATTAACATATGGCCTTTTTTCGTATAGGATTCTGAGAGTAGAGATTGATTTTTGTCCTACAGGAAATTCATAAGCAAAACATCTTTGAATACGTTTGATAAACCATGATTCAGTGTAACTTAACAAAATAATTGAAGATATTTCCTGACAAAAAAGAATCGAAGCTTGAATCAAATTCATTCGCATTGCATGACATCTTCAATCTTATAGAATCAAGTTCTTTTTGACGTTCTTAGAGCCCTTAAATATTATCAATAAACCCGATTAAATCGAAGACAAACAAAATATAAGGCTAGACATTCATTCATTTATCTTTTTGATACTTGCGAAAGCTAAACTAGGAATCAAATATAACTATAAGATTAAATTTAATGTAAAATCTTGATTTTGTCCCGCAAATAAATTCTTTGATTTGATTAATTAGGAATTAGCGATCATCATTACTCTCTGCAAATGATTATATCTATACTACTGCAGCTTATCATGATTAAGTTTTATATTTGTATACTGAAAGTTATTACAGATGTACGATTGAGATAATTCTATCGATGGGAATCTGTTTTTCCTCCTTCTTAAGCATCTAAATCAAATAAGAATGTTAACACTCACATTCATCTTTAGATAGCTGTTTATTCCATAAGTCTTGCGTTGTTTTTGTACTTGAAACAGCCGTTCGAAGTTTCGATAAGAGATACTCAGCACCACTCTTACAATTCAATAAGTCGATATCTTTAGTACGTTCAATACCATCATGCATTTGATTGATACAAAATGTTAAAATTGAGACTGAAAAAAAAAATAATTATTAATTCTTTTTCGAATTCTTTTTAGATTAATTTTACATTTATATTGTTGTTTTAAATTATTTAGCATATTTCCATGATTTGTTTGCATTAATTTTTGATTATCAGTTGTAGTAACAAATTTTTGTGCCCATTCACGTGTTGCTGCTTCTAAATCAAGTACTTTATGTTCAAGTTCTTCTTTTTCATGAATTAAATCAATTAAACTTTCTTCATGTTCCTAAAAAAAATTAATTAATCTCAACTAAAGACACAAAAACTCAAAGCTTTCTTACTCGATTTTTATCGAATAAATCTCGACGTTCAGTTTCTGCTTCGTTTAATCTTTTTTCAAAATCTGATTTTTGATTTTCTAATTGGCTATTGATCATTAATTTTTGACTTTCTAATTCTTTATATCGATCTTCTACACTCTAAAACAAATAGAATTCAAACATGTGGGTTTTTTTCTTTGTTTTGTTAAATAAATGTTTACTTGTTTAGCATGTTCAATTTCTTTAATACGTTCGGTTGTTGTTACTGTTACTGTTTGATAATTATTACGTTCATTTGTCAATGCTGATATTCTATCTTGTAATTCCTATTTAAATAATAAATAAATCGATTCGTAGTTACAAAAGCCGCTGTTTCACATTCTCTTACACTCTCTCGCTTTTCCATTAATTTTTTAAACTCGATCATTTCTTTTTGATACTGTTCTTTTTCTCGGTTGGATTGTTCTAATTGTTTTTCAAGTTGCTAACAGTGTCAACATATAGATCAACGATGAAAACAAAACAAAATATAATCAATAGAAACGAATACCTCATTTTTATGTTGTAATTCTGTTACGATACCATTCGTTTCGATTAATTTAGAGTCATGAGAAGAATTTAGAATTTTTAACTGATCAATTACGGTCAGTAAATCCTTTCGAAGAAGAAAAATAAGATTATTTTTTTCTCGATTTATTACATGCAATGATTATTGGTTACTTTATTTTTTTGTTCAACATCATGCAGTTCATGTTGAACATTGTTAACGATATTATTAAACTCATTTGTTTTGTTCTGTAACGTAGTTTCCAATGTTTTATTATTCAATTGGAATTCTTCTAATTTTTTCTCATTTATCTATAAATAATCAATGAAATTCATCGAAAAGACCGATGAATTTATTTTCTAACATACTATTGCTTTAGCTTCAGATTCATTTATAAGTTTAGACATTTGAATTAATGTATCTTCTAATTCTTGTTGTCGTGTTTCGTGTTCGACGAGTATCTCAATAGATAGACAAAATACAATAATGTACTTTGTTCTAGTAGTTTTATTATTATTATAATACTTTGTTTTGATTTTCAAAACTGGTCATTTCACGTTGTAGGACTTGCTTTTTTTCGTTAAGCTCTCGTGTCAACGTTTCGATGGTATGTTCTAGAGTTGTCGTACGTTCTTTCTCGTCATGTAAAGTCTTTTCGAGATTCTAGATATTGAAAAAACAACAAAAAACGTTTTATCTCAAGAAGTGTACACAAGCACAACACGGATTTTACTTGACGTTGATTATCGCTATGATGCAATCTAATTCTATTATCGTCAATTTCTTTTTCGAATCGATCTCGTTCAGCTTTTATATTATTCATATTCATAAAAATTTCCTAGTCGCATGCGGATAGAGAAAAATATATAAACATGTACAATTTTCTCGGTGTTCTTCTTGTACTTACATCATTTGTTTGACGTAATTGAATTATTTCTTGATTCGTTTCTTCATTTTGTTTTGTTTTTAATTGTTCATAATCAGTTTTAAGCTGATTAAATTCATCATCAATTCTCTATATTAACACTTAAAAATATACATTTCAAATTCTACATGACTAGTCTTACCTTATGCGCTGCTTTTAATTGTAAATGTTCTTGATTTAAATTTGCTAATTGTTTTTTAACTTCGCCTTCCTAAAAATCAAAATAGATTCGAAAATAGAATTACACATAAAATTCATCATACACGACGTAAAACAATAATATGTTCTTCACGTAATTTAGTATACGCTTCATGTAATTTATTATATTTTTCATCGGAATTTGATTTTTCTACATAATTAAAAAAGGTTAAGATTCTTTTGTTTTTTAAATACTTCAGACATACTGTCAAGTGCATGCATTTCTTCCATACGTCGTTGATTATCTAATTGTTGACGTAGTTGCTCCTCAAGTTGCAAACGATGCTAAAGCAAGAATTTAAAATATGACGAACATAAATATAGCTTTAAAAACTTTTTTATCATACGTTTCTTTCAGTAATTAATTCTGTATCTTTAGCAGCAATAAGTCGATGCAATTCATCGGTTTCCACACGATTTCCTTGTAACATGGCATCATACTAAACATATTTTTAAAAATAGGATTAAAACAACTAAATATAATTTATATTAAAATTTTTACTTTGGATAACCGTTGTTCCAATTCTACGATCTCTTTGGATCTATTATTTTAGAAAATGTTGAATATAGAGGGAAATTAGTTTTCATCTACAAACCGATCAACAACAGGATGTCCATTCGGTGGCCAATCGTCAGACATTGCAAAACTTAATGTCGATCTTGTCTAAATAGTGAATTGTTTAGAAAAATTTTGTATTAAATAAAAACTGAAACTATAAAACTTATGGATAAGTTAGATTAGGGCCCATAAAAATTCTCGCTAGATAATCACTGTTAAGAATTAGTATTTTCAAAATAGAAATTTTGTTTTAGACGAGATTCTATTCAATGTCTCGCTGATGTTTTAAAGAAAAATTTTCAATATTTTGTTCTCTTACATCATCAGACGTATCAATGAGCACTTCATCATGAGTTTGTGCTGGTTCAGGTGGTGGCGTGTGTACAATAGCAACTGGAGTTTGATAATTTTTAATATCATCTTTTATTTTAAAATTCGGTGGACTCTAAAGAGAGAAAATTCATATTTAATGCATAGAAATTAAAAAGTTACATATGCATACATCTGGTAATAGAGGAACTTTTATTAAATCTTTAAAATATTGTAATGTAGATGCTTGTTCATAGAAACGTTTTAATCTTCGAAATTGATCAATTAATCGCTGTCGATGACCTTGAAGTGTATCGCCAGGTAGACCTAAATATTTCAATTAATAAACATCGTAATTTCGAGAATAAAAAGTTTATATTACTATCGTGAAGTTTAAAAAGAACTTTAACGATATAATCATAGAGTAAACTGGAATCTTGTACACAAATAATAAGTGGATGAAGACGACATTGGCCAGCTGTTGTCATTGAATTGGCACGTGATTGATCAAGTGATGTAAAAACCGACTCGACAAGACCTAATAATTCTTCCATATAATCCAATAATTCAATACATAATTGAAAATATGCGTCTAAATTATCAGTAAATACACGCCGAATATCATTGTGTTCACCGATAGATAAATTTCCGAGAAATGTTGGATTTCTTTCATGAAACGTTAATTTTGATATCATTAAGCGGCAATAACGATATGTCATTATACCATAACATTGCCGAAGAGCATTCTAAATTCAAGAAAAATGAATGCATCTCTCAACAAAAATAATAGATGAAAAATTCAATAGAATTATCGACAAAAATGTGCAAATGAGCGAGCATTGAAATCTGTATTTTTGTTTTTTTTACAAACCATTTGGCTTCCTCCTGAGAATTCCGAATCCGATAAGGGTGACTTAATTTATATATATATATATATATATATATTAGTTTACGTTTAATTTTTAATTTATACGTACCCAAAACTTGCCTAACTGTTCAAAGTAAGGTGCCAGAGGAATTGAATCATTGACAACCTATATTAAACGAAAAAGAAATTCGATCGGTATATATCCAGTTCAACTTGACACACTATTTATGGTTTCTTTTGCTATAAGAACAGAGTTGTACATACGAAACATTTAATAATATATGACAGGAGATTCTAATTATTGTAACAACCTAATGTTATCAGTGTATTTAATGAGAAATTTTACTACGTAACTTTTAAACGGAATGGTTTCCAGAAACATATGTTTTATACGCCAATTGATTTTTATTTGCACAGGTTACTTACATGTTTATGTCCATCTCTTAGAAGTCGATGTATAACATAACAAAACTTCCAACAAACAATAGGATTCGATTCAAGTTGAAGTCTTGTCATCATCGACCAAAAAAGACGGCCACCTTCGAGACGAAATGTGCCAAGAATAAGATCTAAATTTTAGTAAAAGGAAATAAAATAAATATTCCTAATTTTTCTTACTTCGAACATGTTTTTCTTTAGCTGGTGTTTCAACATTATTGATCGCTTTTGTAGCACTTTGCCACTAGAAGACAAAAAAAGGTATTTATTTTTATTTTGAAATTGGAAAAAAAAGGAAATGAGACACACCTGACTCCATTCAAATTTATCTCTTTCAACTTGATCGGCTGCTTTTCGCCGTATGGGAATATTTGTTACCAATTGATTTAAATTAACCATACTTGAACGACGATTATAGACGCTCATCTGCTAATAAAACAAGAAAAAAGAAAAAAATATATATAAATATTATTCCTTGCTTTTTGAGTCATGAATGTTAAATGTCAATAGTAGGTAGTAGCTTTATTTTTGTTTTGTGCATGTTTTTCTTCACTTCATCTGAGCATTAAAAAAGGAAAAGAGTACGAAAATGACTCAGTCAACTGCGATAATAGACAACTCTTTTCTTTTTTTCCTTCTTTTTAGCAGCATTATATTCTTATCGCAAACGTAAACTTTCTCTTATTGATTAATAGTGCATGTATTCATATTGTAAAAAATAACATACACAAACATAAGTAAAAGAACAGACATCCTTCATATGTGGATAAACATATGAGTGATACGTCACTCGAATGTAATCGATTCGAATCTTGTTCAAGGATAGATAGTCGACAAACAATAAAAAACGAATTAACAACAAAAATCTTCTCGATTTCACGTTTGTAAATAAGACATCGATCGATCAAAATGAGTCAAAAGATCGAAGAGATGACGCCCCAACAATAGACAAACAACTGAGCTAGATGAAGTTTAGCCATTGATTCAATTTTGTTCTTTGCAATGTCTATCGAAATTTGTAGAGGTCGTAGTCTGTCGATGGGAATAGTGACCTTCATTTTGCTAATCATTAGCTCTATTAGCTTATTTTATTCGAGGAGTAATGCGAAAGTTATTTTACTTTTTATTTCAATCTAATCTATTTTGTAGTACACATAATGCATCTCACATACATTATAACTGACTGACGACATGATTAGGTTTTATTTCATTCACGTATGTTATTTTAAAATCGTGACTTTCTAAAAGTTTCTTTTCTGCATGGTATATTACGGGGACAGCTCATGCGGTTGGTTGAAATACTTGTCATATACTAATGAGTTCTACTTAGAAAAATGATCTTCATGCTATCTAGGCCTCTGAAAAATACACTAAACGGTCGATACTCTAGAGCGCAACTTCAAGGTCACTTATATCTTTTTATTGGAAAAATTTATTGAATTTGATAAAACAACTCAGCAAATATTTTTGAATGTGATAACATAAAACTAATCATTATTCATGAAAACAACAATACGAAAACAACTGCTGCATTATTAATTTTAAGAAAGAGAATATTTTACAATTCTAGACGCGCTCAAATCTGCCGTGCATTTTAAACAGAAAATGTACGTGTACATACTTCAACATTGATTTTTCGATCTTTACATGCTTACGAACCTAATTTGTCTTATGTTTTTAACTAATCTTAATATGTGCTGATATAAGATTATTTTAAGGTGCACCAAAGTCAAAAATCGAGCAGGAAAAAATTCCCATTTATTATTACATGGTTGGATAGAGCTCGATGAGTAGGACATGAATATCACCTTTAAAATGTTTCTAGGCTTCCGTTTTGGCTGAGAAATTTTCAAAATACAAATTACACCTGAAAAAATGAATATGTCACTTTTTTTTAGAGAAAACTCGAAATTTACCTAGTTTAACAATGTTCAATGTTTAGAAAACTATCATCATTGAATTCATCATGAAAATCTGAATCTACTGATGTAACGATGACCAGTAAAAAACGTAAATTTCATGTTTGAGGAGCTCCACTAGGTCCCCATATAGACATGTTCAAATCGGTGTCTCGCAAAATCATCAACTATTTTTTTTTTGAAAGCAATTCTCGGACTTTCTTACGCCATTCGAACCGCCAAGTGATAGCGAACAAAAGTATATATTCAGTTTGAAAAATATTATTCCCTCTTTGAGAAAATCGATTTTTACTAGATCGGTGGCTATAGGTTAAAGAATTGTACTCTTCTTTCCGGATTTCAACTGTCAAAACTCAATTTTCATGCAAAATAAACATCAGATTCGAAATCAACGGGAAAAACTACATTGACTATCACAACTTTAATCAAAAAATAATTTTCATTATAATTTTACCTGTGGTGCACCACAGGACAAAACCTGGAAGAAAATGACTGGATCTGATGTTTATTTTGCATGAAAATTGAGTTTTGCTAGTCGAAATCCGGAAAGAAGAGTACAATTCTTTAACCTATAGCCACCGATTTAGTAAAAATCGATTTCCTCCAAGAAAGAACAATATTTTTCAAACTGAATATATACTTTTGTTCGCTATCACTTGGCGGTTTGAATGGCGTAAGCAAGTTCGAGAATTGTTTTCAAAAAAAAAATAGTTGATGATTTTGCGAGACACCGATTTGAACGTGTCTATATGAGGACCTAGTTGAGCTCTATTTAACCATATAATAATAAAAGGATTTTTTCTCCTGCTCGATTTTTGACGTTGGTGCACCTTACTAAACATATATAGCGTTGGCGCTAAACCCATGTGCATTGTCAATAGAATACCATGCTTGTGATCTCCACAACAGACAGTTCATTACAAGGCTAACAAAAACTTTTAAATGTTTCTCTCATAGTACTAATCAATATTATTCGTATTAAAATATCTTTAGTTTACTGACTACTGTTTTTAATTTTTTTTCCTATATTTCGCTCAGATGAGAATGATATTAATTTAAAAATCTGTATCAACAATTAAAATATCCCTCAAGAAAATGTCTATCGTATTTAATAAATGTTTAATTTTGTGTGAATTTTCTCATAGAAAGTTATCCTCAGAGAAATAGATGGTGATTCTGAACAAATTTCTAAGGTTAACATGATTATTTGTAGAGATTCTACAAATATTTGATGGATATGAGACTTTTAGTCGTTAGTAACATATATTTCCGAATAGTTGTGACATTTTATCACAAAGAATTTTCACAAGAGAATCCTTTAACTATATTAAATTTACGTAGTGTCAGCAAAAATGTATTCTTTGATCAACAGATAGTAACTAACAAGAGCAAGGTCGAAAACATCTATATCGTTAAAGAAGACATAATATGATATCGATTAAGATTCCATTATCATTATTTTGAACATAAATTGCTCGTATGTATCAATGATTCTGTGTGTGACGTTTAACAATATTTTTCAATTAGCATGATCAAAAATGTTCTACAAGACTTTAAAAAACAACAGCTTTTAAATCAAAATTCAGAAATAGAATATAAAATATGATACTCCATCGACTGTAAAAGATGATTAATCAATGGATTAAAATTAGATTTAACTATTTTATTACTTACACTTTCTTTGCTTTTGTGCACGTTATTACTCATAGGTGATAATATTGTGTAAAACTCAAAAACAAAAATGCTCGCCTGACTTGCGTTTTTATTTGTTTTGGAGAGAAATCAAGAAATTTTTAAATCACGTTTGTCATGTGCATATAGAAAGAAAAAAAAAGAGTAAAAATAACTCAAAAATTTGTTGACTCTAAAATTTTCTTTTTCATTGTGATGTGATGTTGTTGACATATTGAAAACAGTATTCATTTGTCTACTTTAATTTTTCAAAATTTTAAGTCAGAAGTTTATTCGAACATAAAATGAAAACGAAAATGCTGAAATTTATTCTAGCTGAATGCATCTGTGAGCGATTGAATCTTTTGTTTACACAGAATTTGTGGCTGATTTGAAACTAATGTAAACAATGTCACATTAGGGTTGAAGTTGTTGTTTTGTTTTTTCTTATGTTTAAATAACTGAATTCGAACAAGTTAACTGGGAATAAGTATAAATAGTTCAATTTCATAATGAATTTTATTTGTTATGGAAATGATGACTGCCAAGTTACAAACACAATACAATGATGAAGTCGAAGCAAATCTAAAGGAGTGTACAAAAAATAGAATTACTTTTTATTGTATAAGTTTTGAATCATAAAAGTAAATAGATGCACGGTTTTTAGTAGAAACAGATTTGGACTTCTTTCTTCTTCATGCAAACGTTAGTTTTCATCTAAACATTAGAAGATGTTGATATAAGAAAAATTGAATTCTAAGAAATAATATCATGTTGACATAGCTCAAATTACAAAAAAAAGTCTTTTGTGTAGTAGTTTATTGACACGTATTGTTGATCATTTTTCGGTGCTGATAAAAGAATCTAATATTAATTTGTATCAGAGACGTGCACAGGGCAGGACGTCCTGTTGTCCTGGTGTCCTGTCCTGTAGGACAGGATGAGATTTAGATTTTGTCCTGTCCTGCCGTCTGCCAGGACCAAGGTAGCCAACAGGACAGGCAAGGACAGGAGAAAAAATTATGTCCTGTGCACGTCTCTGCCAGGAATCCGACGATAATCCGATAGTTTGCTTGCGCCTTCCGAAGAGCTCCGTCGGATTCCAATAGGAACCGATCGGAACTCATCGGATCCTAGGCTAGAATTCATTATCCTAGGTATATATGCCAAATAACGCAATAATTGTCCAATCGATTTTTTGGATTCCATAGAGTTGTCTTGTGTTTTAAATTCACCAATAGAAACAACAAAATCTTGTGAAGCTCCAAATTCTTTCTTCTTATCGATATTAATGTGGTTGGGTCCCGTTTCGTCGGAAAATTTGATAAATTTTTTTCCCATCATTCCCGTCCCGTCGAAAATGAAAAAACAACTATTCCTGTTTCGTCGAAAAATAAATTCTAATTAATCACTTGATGAAATTTTTTCGTCAAATTAATCATAAATAGTGCCCAATTACTTGCAAGTAAATTTGTCAACAAAAAATTTATTATAGAGCAGATTTAGATACATAAATAAGAAATTAGTAAGAGAAAATATGGATAGAGAAAAGAAAAAAAATTAAAATTTTATCTTGTGTGTATCGAAAAGTATCAAGTAATAAAGTTGGTTTATTACGTTTACTTTCAACAATAGACAGCATCATTTTGTGTAATAATGAAGGAATATAGCAAAATAAATGAATTTTCTCTTTTTACTCCACATATATATATATTTGCAAAATTACAGATTACTAGTATAGGAGTATCAATTAGTTTATGTTTAAGTAAATAGTTTAAATCAATCAAAGAAATTGAGCTCATCACTCTGTTTATATTCGTTTTCATTCCAATTTATTTTTCGACGAAACGGGAATAGTTGTTTTTTCATTTTCGACGAAATGGGAATGATGAAAAAAAAAGTGTATCAAATTTTTCGACGAAACGGGAAAATCAATTAAGCTTTCGACGAAACGGGAATCTACCATTAATATTTTTGAACATAAAACAAAAATCAGGAGATTTTTCATTTAAAAATTTATGCTTAGATGTATCTACATATTGCTATGATGTACAATAACCATAATTTTTGAATAATTCAGTCATTGATTGATTAAATACTTCTTGAATTTTTGTTTCTGAAAATTGATTAACGGATTTTCAAGCACTAAAATTGTTTTGAAAAGAATTTATTATGTTGTCATTAACATTAACATAAATATTATTATTTAATAACGATGTAATATCGAACGAATCAATACCACCACGTACATTAATAATCGTGATAACCACGATTGGACATATATGAAGACAAGTCTTTACTGGTTGATGCTGAATGTTGTTCGTCTTCTATTCCTAAGCGGTTCATTCGTTCGGCTACTTCTCTATCTTTTTTTTACATTATAGCTTCCAATTGTAATTGTCTTGTTTTTTCTATTACCATAAGCAAGTCTTCGTCTTTTTGTATTTTTTTTCCTTTTCTCGATTTGCTATTTCTTTTTCTTGATTTCTTTTTTCTTTTTCAATACGTAGCAATAATTTCAGTTGTTCCACAGTTTGAACGCTATTTCCCAGATCAATCAAAACGGATATCGTTTACGGTTCGTTTTCTGAAAGTAAACCGTAGGAAAACGACATCTTTACGGCACTGTAAACGATACCGTATTTTCGCCATATACGGTCGTATATAAGCCGGATTCTCATTACGATACGGCCCTATTCCTGCATCCAGTATCATGACCGTATACGGTCCGTTTAGATATCGTTTTTATCACCGTAAACAGCCGTATACTGGCCGTATTTTCTGACATGGGTTGCAGTCATAGTTTTTGTAAGTGCTACTTGTAATTTATGTATAAAATTAAGAAAAATTATTATTGTGAATATATTGAAATGAGACATTATTTTGACATAGACTGTATATACGTATATGTACAAATGGAAAGAAAGTTCACCATTGTTTCAATCATGTCGATTGGTTCTCTATATAGACAACATAGGAAAAGAGGGTGCTTGATAACGATCATTGCAATCGACTTTTAATAAAATATTCTTGGAATGAAAATAAAAAAATGTCATCATAAATTTGTAGCATTATGAGATATATTTTAATTAACTAATCATTTCATCGAAATAATTATATTTGATCTTCAATTAATATACGCTTCAATTTTATTAGAATTATACAGATCGATTTTGTGGAACTCACCCCGGTCGAAGAAAACGATCAGTAAACGGTCGCATACGACACAAATACGGCCCGTTTACGTGCCGTATTTTCCCCGTATAACAGGGGCAGTAATACGGCCCTATGTTCTATAGAATACGATAATATTACGCCGGTTTACGGTGGTCCGTTTTGATCGACCTGGGGCACATATATTTTCGAAGAAAATAGTGAGTGTAAGCTTAAGTGCAAGGTTTTTGCGGCTCCCCTGTANTTACAAAAGCATACTCGAATAAAGGAAAATGTAATTATGTTAATTGTTAATGGTTATAATTTACAATTTTAAAATTTTAGTACAGGCCGATTGGTTGTGTTCACCACTTATTATATCAGTAATTAAAATTTAGTTTTACTAATTATATATCATTGTAATTGGGATTTAGTTTCTAATTAATCTACAAATCTGTCGTTTTATTATTATAGTCCATACTATGGACTCCATAGTTACGACTGTAGGGTACGTTTTTACTATTACAGACGTTAGCTACCATTGTCGATTATGATTACATACATTAATAGTTATCTACGACAGATTAAGTACATTAAAAGTTGCTTTCAAAAATGATTTACTGTTTTAGTATACAGAAATAAAGATAGAAATAAATAATATACGATAGATACAAATTGTAATTAAATACCAATACAAAAACATAATTCATTAAAATATTTGTTTTTAAATTTAAGCAGACCAAAAGAGAAGTAAAAAAATGAATCAAACTGATATGTCTTTTTTTAATAGTAAACAAATCTTTAAATATGAAAATTCATATTTATTTTATTACAAGATCAAAAATATAAATATGAAACATTTCTTATAAACAGTATTTTATATTGATGATGTAAAAAAAAATATCGAACTCTTAGTTATCTGTATTTTTTTAATTGAAAAAATGTCTTGAAGATCATTTATAGTTTATTAAAATAAGAAAAATTCTATGTTGTTATGTAATTAGATATTTTTCTGAATAACCAGTATATGGTTTTAATGTGAGATAAAATTTTACTTTCGAAATTGAACTACATTGTCGTTAAAATATTTAATAATCAATCCGGTACACTATTTAAACTTTTTATGATGATAAATTTATGTATAAATTGATGTGATTTTTCTTCATTTAAGAAGATTCAATAATAATTTTTTTTTTGTTAAATTCCAATTGAAAATTACATTGTTGACGTAGAATAGTAGAAAAGGATAAGACGATAGAATTTTGTACAGGGTTTTCCAAAAGTCCTGATCATTTAACAAATTGATTTAGCTCCACTACGAAATAAGCTTAATCAAAATTTTTGTTTTTGTTTCAAAAGAGAAGACACTACTCAGCTTTATTATTCTTGAAGACGAAGTTCATCAACATGGTAGAAGTGATAGCCGTTTTGACTATTACATAAAATTTATGTTTTTCTTCTATGTTAAAAGCGATATGAATTATTATCTTAGAAATTTACTTCAAATTCCTATCGATATTATGATCGTGGAATCATTCAGATATTTCATCCTGACTTTTGTAAACGCTACTTCTGATATGTTCAAATGATAACAAAGAAACTGATCAATTTTAATGACAGATGAGTTTGAAAAAGGCTTCATTTTCTCGTTTCCACGACTAGAAGAATTTTTGAGGAGTCACGAAAAATCTGCTTTAAAATAGAGCACTAGTGATTCGATTCTTTTAAAATATGTCAAACAAATAACTGAAATACCATAAGAAAAGATCTGAATCATCTCATGATCATAATAGCAAAAGGAATTTGAAGTCAATTTCTAAGATAATAATTCATATCGTTTTTAACATAGAAGAAAAACATAAATTTTATGTAATAGTCAAAACTGTTATCACTTCTACCATGTTGATGAACTTCGTCTTCAAGAATAATAAAGCTTAGTAGTGTCTTCTCTTTTGAAACAAAAACAAAAATTTTGATTAAGCTTATTTCGTAGTGGAGCTAAATCAATTTGTTAAATGATCAGGACTTTTGGAGCATCCTGTATGCTCGATTATATTTGAAAACTTGAAATAAAATTGTTTTAGTATGAAATCAATGAAGATAAAAATGAAGATGATAAAGTTTTAATTAGTCTTATGTATTCAAATGAAACATCGAATTTTCATGTTAAAATACAAGGTATTTGTCATTTATTACCATTGGCTATTGATCGTCAATCAGATCTTCATTGTGAATTATGTTTAATTCCATATGATGACTTATTTAACAAATCAATTTTTAAAAGACAAGTCAAAACAAAGAAAAAAAAAGATTAAATCCACAATTGAATCAAGAATTTGTTTATAAGAATATTCCATTAAAAGAATTAATTAGTAAAACATTACAAATTAATTTTTATGATAAAGATTTTGGAAAAAAAAGATTCTTTTATTGATAAGATATTTGAATGGTATAAAAAAGACCAAAAGAAAAAATGTCGATAGAAAAAACGTCGAAAAAATAAATATCGAAAGTGCTATTAATGCAACTTCAGCACAATCTTACCCTCACCCTCATCTCTGTCCTGCACTTACATATGAAAAGTTTGCGCTAAACCTGCATTAATAACACCTTCGATATTTATTCTTTCGACATTTTTTATGCATATCTTGATCAAGTATCATTGAAAAAAATTCTATTCAACTTGGTCAACCATTATTTCGTTTAAATCAAATTGTATGTATTGATCATCCGCAATTAAACATTCCGTGGTTTAACGATCGTTTCGGATTAGAAATTGCTCTACGAGGTAATTTCATTGATACTGATTTTGCGTTCGGGGGATGTCAATACGCCTAGAGGCAATTGTTATTTTGAAGTCGTGATGGGGCATAGTATTGTTAGTCTAGATTTATATTTAGAGAATCAGGCTTTTCGAGGTTCAAGTCGTTGCATTCAAAAAATACCGTCTCACTTTTACTGATGGAGAAAATTGACATTTTTCATATCGATGTCTATCGTATTGACGCTACTTATCCTCTTCTAACTACTAGATGTATCTAACTATGAAAACTGGAAATCATAGAACGTTTTGTTGAAAATAAAATAAAATTTCATACTTACGTTAGATATATTTGAGAAAAGATGAAAAGTAACGACAAACAAAAAGCTGTAAAACGTAACGGGTGGGGCATACCGATTGGCCGCGCTTTGCATCTCATTTTTCTATCACTTACTTCATCCTATTAGAAGAACAAAATATATCAAAAGATGCAGTGTGAAAAGCTCTACAAGTTACCAGGAAAAATTATAAAAAGAGGAATAAACAAAAAAAACGAATTCATCTTCTACGAAAAATGACATTATTTTCGCAGGATTGAAATTTGGCCGCTCAAAGTTTTGCCCATTTTCAGAACAAAAAGTACGACTATAAAATAAGCGATCTTATGTAGATTGTGGAACTTTTCACACTGCATCTTTTGATATAATTTGTTTTTCTAATAGGATGAAGTAAGTGATAGAAAAATGAGATGCAAAGCGCGGTCAATCGGTATGCCCAATCCGTTACTTTTTACAGCTGTTTGTTTGTCGTTACTTTTCATCTTTTCTTAAATATATTCTAAGACAGTTTTGGGGCCTAATCATACATAGTGTTGTAGAGAATTTCAAGGGCTATCTTTTGATAAGAAAGTGTCTCCATCATGGGGATAATAGAGGAGAAATTATAAAAATACTAACAGCCTAATTTATTCTGCGCCATCCGTCAGTATTGGAGATAAAATAAAATTCCTGTTAAAACAATTCATTAATAGTATGTAATGCTTCAATCATTCAATACATTATTTCTATGATCTTTGTTATGAAATTTGAACAGTTGCTGGTTAGTATTTATGTGACTCATATATAGTTCACGTGAGAAAAAAGATCTATATCATAATTTATTTTAGGTATGCTGACCTTTCGAGAGTGACAATTGAATTTGAAACAAAGAATGACTAGAATTTTTCTTACGGAAGAAAAAGCATACATTCTATATAGCATGTGAATATATCATTGGAAAAAATAATCTTTCTCTTTTTTTTCAAGTTCTTATCATCATAAAAAAATCACCGAATGTCAAGATTCTATTTGATTACTTCTATTTAAATTATAACGTGACTGTATGAAAGATGTTGATATGCGATGAAAGTAGAAATCAATCAGCCATATCGAACTTCAGATGCATGCTTTCAATGTGCGATCTAAAATTCAAATTGTTTGAATTCATTTTCTCTATTATCTAATTCGTATTCAACACAAACATTGATTTTCATCCCATTCAGTAGAATATAAAAAAATACCATGTTCTTGAAAAGAAACATTAAACGAGTAACATTCTTTATGGACGAACGAATATAATCCATTTACTAGTGGATCAATTAAATAGGTGGCTGAAGTTGGAATTCAATGATTTTTAGTTAATTTCTTTCTTTGGAATGCATCCTTTGAACACATTAATCGCTGTTCAAAAAACACTTCACTGAAGACCTCTACAATATTTGTTGAATTTTCTGCTTAAAATCGAATAATTATAGTATAAGTGATAGTTAGCTGTCCTTCTGTATTGAAATCAACATCATCATTATCTCAATCATCAAATCGGATATGCTCGGTCATCTATAGTAAAAACTATAAAAAAAAGAAGAAGAAAAATAAATCATGACCGTTGATCGCTGGGACACGCGTACAAAAAAAGAGAAAAGAATGATTACTTATTCGCACTTCTCCAGATCACTCACTGGTTAAAAGACAGAGATGAACTTTTTCTCTTTCGTTCGATCGATTATCAATACATTCTTCGTTTTTTTTCTCCATCCAAGCAAAATGTCCTTTGTCGTTAATTATGATAAGAAATGAACTGAGCACATTATAGTTTCGAGTCTTCTTGTTGATTGTCATATATGATATCCTTGACTAACGAAAGCATCATTCATCGAGAATACTGATCGATTGGTAGATATCTTATTTATTAAAATTTCAAAAACACTGTTCAATGTCTTGGGTAAGCTTAGAGAATGAAAAGAAATGTTTAGAAAAAAGAAATAAATCATATTTATTAGAAATACGTATATTGTTTTGGATACAGGTGAATTTTTCACAGTGCCTTGATTCTATCCAAAGCTAGACATTAAGTTTAGAGTGTATTACTTGAAATGTTAAAATGTGAATTCATTTTTCTTACAATAGATGAAAAGAGATGATACCAAGTGTTTATAAAGCGGATGAATAAAATCAATATTCTTTTTTTCTTGCAATATTTGTTAATTCCTATTGTAATCGATATTTGATCACGTCTCCGTTTCGAACGTGTAAAATAGAGTAGGACGTGCTGTTTATTTGCTCTCTTTTTGTTTGTTCAATCAGCCTTTCACATATTCTCTTGTTATATTTATTTTCATAGATTGAAAATAAAAACAATATGAATGATGATGAAGACACAACAGATTGTATTCAAGTTACTTTAACAAGAGTATGTTTTATTTACAACGTGATAAGAATAATAAATCGTTGTATTTTTCTAGTCACCATTATATGGTTTTGGTATTGCCATCAATGGTGGAAATGATAATGGTGATAATCAATCATTAATCATTTCTGATGTAATTAAAAATGGACCAGCCGATGGAAAACTCTTGTAAGTTTGTAAATATTCAATAGAAATATTTTTCAAGATTCAATTAGATCTAATGATCGAATTGTAAATGTGAATGGTCATCCAGTTGTACGTTATATGGAATATACAGCATTAAAATTAATTCGTGAATCAACAGATTTTGTTAATTTGGTAGATGAGTTCTTTTTTTTATTAATGTCTTGTATTTTAATGAGTTTTTTTTTCTAATCTAATTTAGATTGTAGAACGACAAAAACAGCCAATGATTATTATGTCAGATAATGAATTGCCTATAAAATGCATTTTAAATAAAACATGCAAAGGTGAAAAATTTGGTATCACACTTGATTGTCGATATTTTATTAAAAAAATCCATTTGAAAAATAATGAAATATTGACAAATATTCAAGAAGATGATGAAATTATTAAAGTAATTTTCTATGAAAAAAAAACAACATATATAGTTAAAGGCGAACCTGTTCTAGATTAACGAAATGCCTGTTAACCGTTGGACATTACAAGAAGCACAAAAATTAATTGATAAAACAAAAGAACGGCTAATCCTTCATATTGTTCCGAATAAATACCATAATTATCAAGCATCAACATCATCATATAAACAAACACAATCTGATTATAATCAGCATGTATTAAAAAAATCAACAAATAATCATCGGAACATGATACGACCACAGTAATCAAAGATAATTTTATATTTGATTTTTCTTATTTGTCTTTATTTTCATTCAGTAATTCAACAAGATATCTGTCATTTTTTACGGATACATCAAGTATTGGAATTCGACTAGCTGGTGGTAATAAATATGGCTTGTTTATTTGTGAAATACAACCCAATAGTGTAGCATATAAAGCTGGATTATTTGTTGCTGATAAAATATTTAGCGTAAGTTTTATTTCTATTTTCTGTTTCACATTGATAACAAAACTGATCAGAGACATTTATTTAATACTCAATCATAATTTCAAATGACAAGTATTGAATCGAAGCCTATGAAAATGTTAAGTAGCATTATAATAAAGCCCTTCGATTCAATTGATTAATAAATATAAAATGCTCAGTTTAAATTCGATTTTATTGACGTATTTTATGAACGAATAGTGACATTTTAAGTATTCAAAAGATGCTTGAATTTGATCGATTTCAATTTACTTATTCATAATGAAAATATGAATTGAGAAATTTTATTTAAATTGATTTTTTTCTTAACAACTGGACAATTTTCTTCACGAAATCAAACGTAAACGAGAAAATAAACTCCTTAGGTATTATGCTATATGACATTTTCAAGTCTAACATGACTATCAACAGAAAGACCAGAACAAATTGCTTTTCGTAGAAGTAGTCCGACTTAAGTATTGCATTTCTTTACTAGGGAATTCGAATAACAAAAAGAGGACAACTATATTAAGGCAAGTATCGTTAGTTTCAGCCAAAATTTGTACCTAGTAACCGATAAACTTCAACAGAATTGTCCATTCGAAATAGGTACAATGAAACAACTTGCAGCAATATTAATAAAACTTTTAGAAATGAAGAAAAATTAATTTCAGGACCAACAATTTCTTAATTTAATAAAACGATATAAAAAGAAATATATTTGCCATCAGATAAATATTTTAATACGATTAGTAAAAAATTTAAGAAACGATCAAGTTTATTGTTTTGTTTTTACTATCGTATGCATTACTGTTTTAAACTCATCTTATAGAAAATTGAATGCATGTTTTGCTTGAAGAAAGCCTGCTGAATAAAATTTATCTATCAAATTCGAGTAAATCTTATAAAACAGAATGATTCTTCATTCAGTTCATACATTTGAAGGTGGATCAAGAAATATTAATGATCTTTCTAAATCAAAATATGAACAATGTTAGCTAATGTCATCTTCATCTTGAACAGATTTAACTCATATGAAAGAGATCGTGTTTTATAGATTATATGTCTTACATTGTAATTTGATACACTCATTTTTAAAACAACGAGTTGATTCAGATGTTGACTTCAGTGTAAGAGTACTTTTCATCATAAAATGTCATGTGCACATTCAAGTGCAGCGTGACTTTTCAAAACAAAACTAAAGTCATATTATCAAGTGATACTTGAATACAACAGATCTTTAATTTAGTAGAATTGATAATATTTATGCGTGAACGATGGAATCTTAATTGATTTAATAAATTTAAATTTTCTTCTTTTCTTTTTTGTAAGGTCAATAATATTGATTTTTCAAATATAACACGCGAAGATGCTGTTTTATGTTTAATGAATATGAAAACATCTCAAATGAATATGATTGTTTCAAATTTACCAGATGGTTTGCTATTTCCTATCGTACCAGAAAAAAATACATTATTGCTTATTGTTTTTTTTTTGGAAATAGAATATGAACAATTATTAGGTGACGTTGGTGGTGATTCGTTGTATATTCGGTAAAAGTCATTTTTTAACAAAGAAAAGCTTTAATTTTTTTCCTCATTTTCATTCAGTACTCATTTTGCTTATAATTCATCACATGTTGAAGAATTATCAATTGGTATTAATGATATTCTTCATGTTACAGATACACTTTATAATGGTCAAATCGGTCATTGGGTTGCAACTAAATTAAATAGATTTTCATCAGAAAATAAGCCGAGCGGAGCTATACCGAATCAATCAAGGTAAATTTTTGTAACGAGACTGTTTACTTTTCATAACCTAAAAATTTTTCTAATAGAGCTGAACAACTAGTTGAAACTGCACCTAAACTGGATGAATTAATTAAGTTAAGGCAATCATCATTCAAAAGAAAATTACGCACAAAATTTATTGATAAACGATCACGATCAGTTTTATCATTAAATCATTTCAAAGAAGATTCAATACTTAGTATGTTGAAAAGTTTATGTTTTTAATTTTTTGTAAATGCAAATTCTTCTATTTATTTATAGCTAAAGTTACTTGTTGGAAACGTAAGCTGTTAATTAGACAGGAAACAAATAGATGAACTTGTAATATCTTTTTTTTCTTTGTAGCAATAACAAAACCAAAGTTTTCTGCTTATGAACGAGTTAGACTGAAGTCGAGTATTAATTATTTTTCTATAGAAACATCATTTGATTATGAATAAATATATTCTAGTAACAATTATTCGACCTGTAGTTCTGTTGGGTTCATTAGCTGATATTGCACGTGATCGATTACTTGATCAATATCCTGATAAATTTGAATCACCTGGTAAGTTACATTAGGAATATTGAATTCTTTCGAGAAGTCATTGTATACTAATAAAATAATCTGTTTTTAAGAAACTTTTATGGCATCATCAACAAAATCACATGCTAATATTATTAAATTACAAAGTATTAAAAATGTTATTCAAAAAGTAAGTTTTATTCATGAAGAAATGTTATTAAAAGAAACTTCGAATTGAATTATTTATATTTGAATCGTATGAAATGTTTAATAGCTGTTAGAATTGTGATATAGAAAGTATTTAAGGCGTAGAAAAGTTCTTAAAATATGATCACTTATTTTCTAATGAGCTTTCGTTAGATATAGTGATGTTTAGTAGTATTATTGAAACTATACATAATTCTCATAGGCTCTGTAACTTTACACGTTGCATCAAAACAAAAGAAAAGCAATAATTGCCAACAATAAAAGTTTATCGACTGTTTAATAGTATAGGATGAGCAATTAAAAAGTAAATAATTAAAAAATCTCTTTTTTCTAAGTAGAATATGTCGGACGTTACGTTGGATAATATGTAAGATTTAATATTAGATTATCCTAACAATGCATTCATCTGATTCTCTTGATTTTTGATTAGTAATGACTTTAACGAGAAGAAAAGAGCTAAAAATCGAAAAATTCTTCTTGATTGAAATTTCCACAAGATTCGAAGAGTCATAGAAACATTTTGATGTTTTCTTTTGTAATCTTTGCTAAAATATTTCACAATTGACGATTGTTACAATAGATTTTATGCAAAGAGAAAACATCTATTGAAATCTCAATTTTATTTCGCCCGCACCAGGAAGGGTATCTAATTTAGTGTTGATATTATGTGTAATCTTTCAAAGTAATATATCTCGGATCGTCCACTTCAGACTCTATTGACTCAATTAAATACAGCGATCAATTTCTTTCCTAGTACGAAAAATATTAATTAATTGAATTTGTTTTAGAATCGTCATTGCCTATTAGATATTAGTCCATCAGCTATTGAACAATTAAATAATGCTGAATGTTATCCTATTGTTATTTATTTCAAAGCTTCTAATCGTAATGTGATTAAAGAAATTCGTAATGACTATGGAAAACTTTATCAACAATCTTCTCGACGTCTGCTTGAAAATGCTGAACATCTTGAATATTTCTATTCTTATTTATTTACATCAATTATTAATGTTGATACTTCAAGAAATTGGTATGAAACATTAAAATTACACATTGAGTCTCAACAGGAACAACCTATATGGATGAGTACTGATCGATTTATTGAAAAAGATTTATTAAAATCAGATGAATATTTTATTTCCACAAGATTAAGTGATTCAGATGACTTTTCTTTTCAAGATCAATCAAGTCTGGATTCAGATATAATAAAGAAAAAAGAAAAAAGCTCTTTACAGAGAGTTTTATCAGATCCTATAGTGTTTCGAAAAGATAAATTTCCTAAAACATATTTAACTGATTTACCTCATCACACCAGTGATAACGAAGCAGAAGAGGATAGTACATGTTTACAAACTTCTGCAATATCATTACCAAATCATAAGCAAACACTGTTCGACATGCCTACGACAGACAATGAACAAGTTCAATATCAATCTGACATATTATTTTCAAATTCTTTACTGAATAATCAAAGATCATTGCAAAATTCAAAAGTAAATAATAATGATCATTTCATTTCAATGGATAAATTTAAGAAGGTAAATCTAATTGTTTAAAATGATTTGTTTTTTTGAAAATTTTCATTTTCTTTTCAGAATCGCACTTTACCGCTGAATCAATATGAAAAAAATTGTATTGAAAATGAATCGAAATTTATTTCTACAAATTCGCTTGCAACATAGTAATTTTTTTCGATCATATTCTTTTTATTTATTTCATTGTTTTATTTTTCTTTAGTGGATTATCAACAAATCAAAATTCATCTTTAGGACGATCGCTGATTTCACAAAAGATTCCAGCAATAAATTATAACGAACAAATGAATTTAAATAATAATCTTAGATTCAATCGAAAAGATTCTAGCGATAAATCAACCATGACAGATAAAAACTCAACCATTGATTCATATGCTACATGGAACAGGTATTTAATTTGCTCATAATCAAAGATATACGTATTTATTAGGCATAGTCCTGTCGAAAATAGTTCAACTTTTTGATGTAAATTAGAACGGAGCTCAAACGTCTCGATTTTTCTGCATGAAGTGACATTATCTATATGGCTACGAACTTATGTAGTTGATTCCAATATACAAATAATATTAACTTCATAAATGAAAAAAGTATTTTGACAAGATATGCAGTGAAAAATTATTGTAATAATCTATTTGAATTAAGCAGAAACTAGAGCGATTTAGAAGTATTCCATTCATTCAACATTCGCAAGAGTTGAGTTTTCTATTAGAATTGAGCTAATCGACTTTGCTGTGTGTTCTTCCAAGTGCTACATATTATAACATGTGGGAATACATCATAAAATATCAAATAACACTTCGAAAAACTGAAGTCATAGAAAGTTAAGAATATTATGCGATACAAGATATGTGAAATTTTAATTAGGCTATTTCGTCGCCTTAGTTCTCTATTAGATAAGTGTTTGTCAGGAAATATACCTATAGATAAAACTAAATACTTTCATGTGTTCCATTATTTTTCTTCGTAAAAGAACAGAAGTTCGTCTGAAGATGTGCCCGTGATGGTTGCAGACAAATTTATAGTGAATTTAAGAAAAATATCTGCACCTTAGCCATTGAACGAGAATTATAAATTTGGCTGTCTCGTAGATTCAAAACAAAATATATAATCCTCATAGGAAAATATCTAATTTTTATCAAGTTTTTACTGCACTGTGATTTCAAATAATTGTTCAATTTTGCTCTTGTCTTCGCCATCAAATGCATCCCATCAAATACTGTATTTTATGTGTCCGATCTTATATGTGATTGATCTACTTACTATATTTTATTTTTGAATATTCACATAATCAAGTAATTCGTCTCTTGCCAGTCTAATTTGTTAGTTTAAGTATAATATTTAATTCAATTCTTAACACAAATAGTCACAATGAAGACGATATTTCTAGAAACGTATATTGATTCTAGAAACTGTGCATCAGTAGAAAATGAAATTCATAAGAAACATAATCCATCAGTTAATTTCAATGAAAAATTTTCTTCTGAATCTTTGTCAAAACAAATAATATGCTCAAGCAAAACACAAAATTCTCAGTTACATAGTGCTTTATGTTCATCCGATCATTCAAAGTCACCATTACAAAAGCCACGTGTTTATACTCATCACGATCCTATTTCGCTTATTCAACAGCAAACTATTGTTTCCTCGTCATCTGAATCTTCAGCATCAAGTCTAAAAGATAAAACTATTAAAGAAGTTGGTGAAACAAGGTAAATTAATAATTTTCTTGTTTTACTTAAGAAAACAAAAACAAATTTCCTATTCAAGATCATATTCAATACAAGATGGATCCAATGTTATCGGTAGTGCTCGTGGTATCATGGATTATTACGGTGGAAAACTCTCTTGTCCTTTAACAGGTTTTATTTCATTTGTTTCTTTTTCTATTATTTTTATTTTGTCGGAAAAACATAAAATTTTTCTAGGTGTATCATTATTTATACCGATGGGCGCAATATCTGAAGATATTCAACAAGAAATCTATTTTCAAGTTCATCAAGATGCTTCCCATACTGAAAAATTTCACGGTCGATTATTAAGTCCCATTGTTATTTGTGGTCCACATGGAATTAAATTTAATAAACCAGTAGAATTAATTATACCACATTCAGCTGGAAATGATGCTGAACAATTATCTCTCTTACTTCATGGTAATAATCAAGGTGAGACACATTGATTAGAATTAATTTTTGAACAGAAGAAATCTATGTTTAATAATTTCGTTTTCTTTATTAGATAGAAAAATAAATGATCGACAACATAATAAATCACTCGTTATAAATGGAATTAATCGTGTAACAAATTCAAATGTCTCAATTCTAGTTGATCATTTTTAGTTTCTTATTTTCGACCGACGAATGTGTCCATCGCATTTGATAAACCAAAAAATCGAAGAAATCTGCCAGTACATTCATTAGGTAATAATCTAAATAAACAGCCATATGAATAAAAAAACAAAAAAAAAATGAACTGGAAAAAATTTATACGTTACCCTTTAAGAATATAAAATAAAGTTGTACTTGGTGGTAACATAACAAAATGTTTATTTTTTCGAATAGCCTCAACAATAGAATCACAAACATAATTTTCATCGAGTAAGCTAACACTAGTAGCTCTAAAATAAAATGTTCAAATAATTCATTCGAGAAGAAGACGAGAGAAAAAAAGCAAATCTCTTACGTTCCGGAAACACCATGAAACATTCCAGTATTAATAAATGTTGGACAAATAACTGTGGTTTGAATTCCATATTTGTGCTGTTGTTTTAATTCAGCTGTCAATGCATCATGTAAACCAACAGCAGCATATTTTGATGAACAATAATCAGTTAATTTACTGATACCTTAAGATTTAATTTTATAAAAAGATATTCAAAAGACATAACAACTTTATATAGAATAAACGTACCAAATATACCAGCACCAGACGCAATAGTAACAATATGACCACGATTTGCAGCTAACATAGAACCAAGAAATGATTTAAGGACCTAAATTAAAAGTATCCTATCAATTGAAGATCGTGAGATAAAATAAAAACATTATTCGTATATCGATTGATGAAGGAGAATTAAAGAAAAAATGGTTTACAGCAACGAGGTAACATTTCTATGCAGTTCAAAACAGCTTTTTAAAATAAGTTTTAATCGTTCGTAAAGGAAACGTTTAAAGGTGTCCCGACAGTGAACCTGAGTATAGTCATTCTACAAGGTATTTTGTTTTTCTTTGTGCTCACTGTAATACATTTCTCCATAATATGTCATAATCCAATCAAGATCATCTTCAAAATTATATTTTCAATTCAAGTTTATCAATAATGAAATTTTTTAAAAGTGAAGTTCATCGAAGAATTGATAGATACAACCGAAAGAAGGATGTCAGCTTTATGTTAGAGAAATCTGATACTTTTCAAGTAAAATAGTCCTGTCGAAAGATATGATTGTATTGGAATTGCGTACAAATATCGCAGTTTTGAAGATGATTTTTAGATCAATTGCGTCATTTTACCGAAAAACTTACTAGAGTTACTATAAAGAAAGAAAAGAAATCCTTTAGATCTTAACCTGTTTCAATATGCTATGAGACATGCTCCATGGGGAAGTATCATTTGATCAAATTCTCGTGTCAAAATCATCTGAAGATAAGCATATTTTATCAAATGAACTCTGAATGTATACTCAAAAACTACATATATAAAATAAAATGATATGGGTATTAATTCAAAAATAAATTAAAAATGAAATGTTGTCAAAGCCTTGAAATTTTGAAAGTATATATTAAAAAGAAAATTTACCCAAAAATGTGCGATAATATTAACATCAAATGTACGTTGAATTGATGCATCATCAATATCTAGTAATGATTTTCCACTGACTACACCAGCATTATTAATTACAATTGTTACATCTCCTACTTGATCTTTGACCTAACATAGAAATAGATAATAGAAAAAAACTAAAAAGAATTCACATTCGAACTTGTTTAGCAGCTCGATAAATATCTTCTCGGTCGCATAAATTAACTTTCATTGAATAAACTTTCGCGCTTGACCAACTGTCAAGTATTTGTCGTTTTGTATCTTCATTTCCTTTTTCATTAACATCCCACAGAACTACTGTTGCACCTAATGCTGCAAGTCGTTTGGCTACACCTCGGCCAAGACCAGAACCTGTTAATTATTCAAAATCATTTAACAAACGACTTATTTTAATTTCAACAAACCAGCTCCAGTGACAAGAATAGTTTCATTTTCAACGTTCTTTTCCACATCATGAACAAACAATACACGCCCTAATGCTTTTATCCAATAATAAATTAATATAAAAAACGCTTGCGTATATTCGAAAGTAACGACTAGACCGAACCACATCGTTATATAATAACAAAACGGCAAAAGAAAGATAAAAGTAGCGAATTTATTCGTTTTCACTATCGTCGTCTATTGACATATGTGATGTTATCTCTACATCTATTATTTATTCTTTACAGTGAGATCGCTTCGTACTTTTTCTGTCGGTCAATGTACACATGGCCCTGATTTTTTTTTATAAATTTCATACTTAATAATAAAAAAGGCTGTCTTTCGTTCTTCAATAAGAAAAAAATCTTTTTAACGGTGTTCTCTAAGATGGAGTTAATGTTCTTTTTTTCTTTTCTCATACTTCTTGAAATTTAAAAGTGTCTAGCAACGTACACAAACTGAAAATATTAAAAAATCAAAATTCTTTTAAATCATGCGTTATCCATGTGCCGGTTTTCCACTGTGTTTAAAAACATTTGAAAATGGTCATGTTTTGTCTGCTCATCATTTATCTTGTGAACATGCTTTGAAGAAACTAAACGATCGAAATCAACATCAAGAACAGATTCAAAGTATTCAACGAAACTATCTCAATAATCGAACGAAAGGAAATAAAGTTCAGCAAACATTTACTGGTTTAGATTATACACAAAAATTTCTTGTTCGTGATCGATATCAACTTGGTGGAAATAATAATCCACAAGAATCTTATCGACGAATTCGTCAGCCACCAGATCCAAGAATGGTAATCATACAAACAAAATCACAATCGATAGATTTCAGTGGTTACTATACATAAACAGATATACGATTGCGAACTTAGTTTCAACCACAAGAAAAATAAGAAATAGATTTCATTCGTCTAAAAATTCTTTTCTATCTGATAAAAATTTTATTTATTCTCTCACGATCTCCGTTTTTTTTGTCTTATTGGGCTCGATTATCATATGTTAATGGGAAAATGCGCTATTAGGAAATGAAAAAATAATTCATGAATTATTATTTTATCCTTATGAACAATGATTCATTCTTGTTTTTTTAATAAATATTACTGATTTCTAATACGTAGTAATTTACTCTTAGAATTTATCAACGCAATAGAAAACATCAAATATATTCAAATATCATTTTAAGGTGGCTTTTAATTCAAAGTCTGTTGATACTAAGACTATTTGAGCTATGAAATACTCCGTTGTAAATCTCAGTGAAATTTCAAGTACAGATATAGACAGAAAAGATTAAAATTCGCCCCATAATATTTTTTACTAAAAGAAGCAGAACTCATTCAACTTTTTCTGGAAATTATAGTTAAATGAAAATTCGAACTTTTCAGACTAACGTTTATTTGTTGTGTTTGTTCCGCATAATTGAATGAATAATTTTGAGGGTATGATCCAGTGCGATTATGTAATTCTGTTAGTGTAAGCACGTGATCTTTGTCGATGGGCACTGAACCTCAATTTCACAGTAAAACATACATTTAACTAATGTAGATCGTTTCTTTTTGCTTGATAATGAATGATCTACGATTCTATGGAACGTTAGAATAATAAACTGTAGTTTCAAATATTGATTCTTCGATGAGGTTAGATTAAAACAAATTGCATTAGATCGAAGTTACTTCTGTTAAAAGATGAATAACATGAAGAGACATGAGTGCTTTAAATTTTCATTCGTTTTTTTCTATATTGTCTCTAACTAATCAGCATTTTCATCTAATATTATCAAAAAAAAAAGGGCAACAAGAAAATTACGCAGCTTAACAGAATCACCAAGTCTAGTATAAGCAGATGTGTTATAAAAAGAACGTTTCTGACTGCAGCTTATTCATTTACTTTTGTTCCTATAAATAAGTAACATTTTTCATCAGTCTGGGTTGCGATGACTTGTGTAAACGAGCGAAACAAAAAAGTACAACTACAAAAGTCAACGTTCTAATAACGTTCTTTATTACTGTAAACTTCCTTATATTTATATGGTATCAACAAATTAAAAGAACCACAAATAGAGTTCTTTTTCGTAAACGTAAAATTCAACACAAACTTTAAAGGTAAATGAGACGGATAAATAAGCATAATTGAGTTGTACGGAAGCCTCATCGATTAGATGTAAATATATACAAGGCTTCGGATTTTGTAACCGAAATATTTTCTTTGTACATCAAAAATAAGATAATTTAAAAGCACTCAGAAGATTTTTTATCTCATGAAAATTTAGCTATGTTGCGCAGTTACTATGAATATTAAAGCATTCTTTAAGTGAAACATACTCGGATACGAATGCATAATGAAAGTAATTTATTGGGCAGTAATTACTTTCTATCTATTTATCAGTAGTTTGATGGATATACAAACTAATATTCTGAATTTGTAAATTTATTTTTCACAAGATAAAACTTAGTGTTGATAAAATCTTAAAATAATAATTAAGAAAATAACGATTATACGTGATGTTAGTAATGAATCATTGGCAAATGAAGTTTTCTAGTGTGGTCGATGAACTTGACTCATTTTGAAACAGAAGTTTGAAGATATGGATGTTTTATTCAATATAGTTCTTTCAAATATTGAACTTAGTATTATTACTACGTATCATTTAAAGATACATAAAATAATTCCTTTCGTAGCATCATTCTTATTTTCTCTTCATGAAAATCTATCGCTTTCTCATATCTGTCTCACATAGAATACTTGGTAGTTGGATACGAGTATCCTTATCAGAAAATAGGTTTTCTTAAATGAAATTAATGGCAAGAGCAAAGAAGTGGACCAGACATGATCTATGCATTATTTAGAGCAAATCTTTGAGACCAATCAGAATAGAACACTAGGAACAAAATAGAACAGCCAGTACAAGAATATGTAAATATAGAATTGAAGTACAATTGTTTATTACTACATCACACATGTTAATAAATAATTTATGTTTGACTTCGTGTGCAAAGTTTTTCCATGCTCGAGAATCGATGTGGACAACATTAGAAAGTTGCTGTTAAGAATAGTGTAATTTTAAATGAATGATTTATTATTTATCGTGACATGAATATTCTACTGTTGATTTGAAATTAATATTCATTGTGAGAAATAACAATTCAAGATCACATTGCATTTCATGGAACAACTTAGTTAGTTCGAAAGAGCATGCAGATACTCACAAGGATAATCATTAATGAAATATCGATGCAAATATTCAATAATAATTACGATCTTTATTTGGCAAACTATCGTAGCATTCTAGTTGGTAAAGCTTCAATTCTACTGACGAGTGGACGTTTTCAACTGTGAAATCGTTTTTTGAGTCCGGACTCTCTGCATAGGGTAGACCTCAGTGAGGTATGGAAAACCTCAAAAGGACAAGTTCCCATAGGCATTCTGTCCAGAGTTATAGGCATTTTAGTGGAATTTTAGTCTATGGCATGATATATACCAGAAAATCGCATGACGGTATTTCGACCTGAGATTTTGCCCATAGATAGATCTATTTGTAAGTAGAATGCCCTGAAAATGTCACCTCAGAAGAATGTTTCCTTCTAGAGATTTTCAAGTCCCAAAAAGCAATCATATCCCACGAAAGGTGATAAAATTTTGTGTGTTTTAGGACTTAAATATCTCTAGAAGGAAACATTTTTCTGAGGTGAAATTTTTAGGGCATTCTACTTACAAATAGATCTATCTATGAGCAAAATCTCAGGTCGAAATACCGTCATGCGATTTTCTGGTATATATCATGGCATAGACTAAAATTCTACTAAAATACCTATAACTCTGGACAGAATGCCTATGGGAACTTGTCCTTTTGAGGTGTTCCATACCTCACTGAGGTCTACCCTATGCACAGAGTCCAGACTCAAAAACGATTTCACAGTTGAAAACGTTCCCTCGTGAGCAGATGAATGTTAAATAGGATAACAAATTATGATATCATATTCTATACGATGATGATGCGAAAACAGTTGAGAAACATTCTGATTCAAATAAGATATACTTTCATCTTGTTATAACTGCTCCCTTTGGATCATACTCATACACAATATAATTTTACCAACTTTGATCTTTTTGAATATTTTATTTTTTGAGAAAAGGATTAGAATATTTGAATGCATCCTTCATAAGCGTGACAGAATATTTTGTCCAGCAGTACAATAAAATTACAGTTTACAAAGTTGTAGAGTAGAAGTGGCGTTCTACACTTCGATATTCAACCCAACTGAATTCATCTGGTATCGTAGAAAGGCACATTTTATATCTTATTGAGAAAAGGAAAAGAAAGGAAGCCCTATCGTGAAATTTTCTACGGCTTGATTGAAATCTGTTCAATGTTCCTTGCATATTTATTCAAGATTTATTCAGACACAATCCAAGTATTGAATTTTTCGGTCATTTTTATGTAATTTGTCATGTCGTATCATTGTAAGAGTACGTGTATAAATTTTATTATGAGATCTACGATGAAACATGCTCAATATAATCATAGATTATTTTCCGACATGTTTATTCAAAAGAAAAATATTAAAATAATTTTCTATCGATTAGATTCTAACTTGAATTAGACTGGTATTCGACTTAATTTCACTTGAATGACTAATATAATCTACTTATTTTCTTTTTTCAAGAAACGAGCAACGTCTGCTTTATGTCTTAGAGCATACGAGATATGGCATTTGACGGTCAAAATCAGCGAGAAAAATGATTCTTTTCAAATAGATAAAATTCGTGTTTTTTTTCTCACGTATTAGTTTCAATCGAAAATTACAACGACTTCGAATACTAATTTTCTTGTGTTGAAATGTATACGACAGTTCATTTATCAAATATCAAATGATATGATGGTCAAAACAAATCCATCAAAAAGTAAATGACGATTGAATGTCAAGTGTTAACAGCCATACGTGACTCGGATTATGTTTGTGCTACTCATCGGTAATTGTTCAATTAGTTGTAAATGTATAAATTGTTCTTCAGTATTTAGATTTTCGTTTTGTTGAAGAATCTTTCTAAACACAACAAAAAATATATATATATTGGAAACATTCAGTTAATTATGGTTATAATTTAATATGATGATTAGCGTTATGCATACTTATAGATGTGAACATAAGAAAAAAAAATAAAAATAAGAAAAGGAAAGAATAAATTGACAACGACAGCAATGAGACCACTTCATGATTGTTAGAATAAATTAATTTGATGGGTCTCGCTTTTTTCTGTTGACAAAGAATAGTGGAGTCTTATTACGCCATTTCCGTTCCGTTCACAACTATTCGTATATTACATTGAATCAATGTTTGATCGAACGAAAAAATGTTGTAGTTATCAAACTGATTAAGATGTGAATCAATGGCAATACAACAAAATATGTTGATAAATGAAAATAGATGTGTAGTTAAAACACATTTTAATATAGTAGCATCAATGGATTGTAAAGAAATTCAACAATAAAATAATCATATCTTGCCTGGATTTAAGATATTTCATATTGAGTCATCTGTTACTGTAACTATGACACCATTATCTCCTAGTAATCATATCTATGCAAACAATTTGTAGAATAAGAAATATCATATAAGGAAAATTTTCTTTTGATGTCAGAATATGTACTTACTCTCGCGCAAAATCATTCAAAAACAGCAAATATAATGCTCGGTCAATTTAAGTTTTGTACGAAGTATTTTCTTTTACTATCGTAGCTTTCTTCATTAATCTATCGTTTTTCATGTAGTGCTTGGAATACCTGTTTTTTCTTTTTCTATGTTAGTCGTATATTTATTTATAATAAATTCAGAGATAAAAGAAAAACTACTAATTCTTTCCTTCTGTACATATTTGTTGCTATCTAGATGTATATTGATCAGTTTAAAACTACTAAATTTCAATCACTAATTATTTCTTTTGATTTTGCTAAGCTCTTAAAGAAGGACACTTGAACGAAATAGAAGCATATAGATGAAGAAGTGTGTCCGATAATCTCGTCGTTCAGATGTTTTTTTGTATTAGTACATTGCATTAATTAGAATCCCAGATATTTGTGAAAGAAAATTTTAAAAGGTTTGATCTATTTTGTGAGCGAGTTCAATTGACTCTGACCTTTCGAAATAGCTACTCTTGAATTTTTATGATCATCAATTCATCGAAGAAGGTGTCAACAACTATTCATAAAGTTCACTTAGCCAATACAATTTTTGAACAACTCAATATGAGTCGACCACATATATTACTCAACACCAAAAGAAAAAACTAATTTGTGTGACATTTTTTTCTTTTCTCATGCGTCTCCAATTTGACTTCTATATTTTAGATCTGTCATCATCGAAATCAAGCAAAAGATACGATAAAAACAATAGGAAACACGTTTTTCTTCACTTCAAAAGTATTGAGAAAAAAATGCACTTTAAAGCAGGCGACGAAAGGATTAGGTCATTTTTTTAAGATTGATTATTCAACTACTTGAATGATTAATCATAATGAATTCTTTTTTTCTTCTCGTTATGGTCTATAACGATATTTCCTTTTCTTTTTTTAATTTCGGACTTAACTATATCCTATTACTTGAGACATATAAATATATATATATATGATTGTGATTCTAATCCGTAGAAGATCTCAATACTGGACAAAATGTGTTCACATATACGTATATATATATATATTGATGATCGGCAATGATGGAATAATTTAGTTTGCTCTCCTTTTTTTCTCTCTTTGCATATAGAATTCTCTTGTTCTTCTCTACGTGTCGAAGTTCAAAAAATAAATAGACCGAAGAATAATGAAGGCAAATGAATGCGAGAAAGAGGAGAGAGAGAGCAAGAGAGAGAGCAAAGAGAAGAAAAGAAAATCGTCGAGTGGGTAGCCAAACACATTCACCATCGTCTCGCACTTTGGAAAAATCGCGACCGATACACATTGTGCAGTAGCTAATTTTAACGTTTGATCGCTATCAAAACATACCTTCACAGACAATCAAATCTAATATGATTTTATTTATTCTACAAATACTTTTTTTTCAAATTATCTACTCACGAACACAAGATACATCCAATATTCGTTATGATCCTTTATTATCAGCTCAATGTAAAGCTCGTTGTTTATATGAATATCGAAATCATAGTCAACAACAACAACAGCAACACCATCGATCATTACCATCAATGTTGACTAATGAAAAAACAAAACGGTTATTGGTAAGTTCACAAATTAGTCTTTCTTTTTATCTTGTTCAATTAAGCCTAAAGGTGTGTACATTCACTTTGTCAATTTAATCCATATGACAAATAAATCGAAAATTTGATTTGTTTGTGTTCGAAGAGGAAAAACAAAAACTAAGGTGTCATACAATACAGGTGCTTCCGATTCTCATTTATTCTGGACTATGTTTTTGTTATCTTTTCTATAGAATAAATGAGGTGTCTATATAGTCATTTAATACAATAAAAAAATATGTTTCTGCATTTGCTTTTCATTTTAATGATGTTGATTTTTGAAATAATCATGATTCGTTTTTTTTTCTAGACGACAAATGTATTGAGATTACCATGGCGATCTATCTGGGAGCGTTGTCCACGCCTCATCACATGTAGTTCGGTAAGTAAATTGACCGAATGTGGGAGAGAGAGAGAGACAGAAAGACAGAGAGCAGGGAAGGGAACGGGGGGAGGAGGAGGTGAGTGAATGAGGGCTTGATTGTCTCGTATGATAACCAATGTATATGTATGCAGGCACAACTAATGAGTGTCCAATGTCTATCTAATTCAATTAGAAAGATTTTTACTGATCGACAAACCATTGACTATCGACCAGTTGGAAATCAGATCATTCTTTCTCATTAATATGTTAACAAGCTTATGTTTTCTCTTTTCTAGTGTCTTCTCCCATGTGACTTAGATCCGCCACTTCTTTTATCCGATAAACAAAGTTGTCAAGCAATCTGTTCTACAGTAAGTTATTTTTGCATATTCCAAGTCTGACCTCAAATCTGTCGAAGTCATTATGTTACTATTAAATTTTTCTTTCTGATAAACGAGTCTGACTGATAGATAGATCTATACTATTATGTTTATTTGTAAAAGAAGGAAGAAGAACAGAATAATTGTAATTTTTATTTTGTTGTATGTTTTCTAGTTAAAACTTGTAGAATGCGAACAAAGTTGTATATTTATTCAAAATCTTTATCAGCAACACGCTAATTGCTTGACAGGCAATTGTCAATTATGTTCATCACCATATGATTGTTCAAGTAAGTTAAATCGATTTATTTTCATCATAAAATTTAATGATTAACACTTTAGAAAAAATTCCTCAACCATATAATGTCACAGCTATTGAAAGAAAAAGTCGACGAACAGTTCGATTAAAATGGAATTCTTATCCAATAATAAATACGGAGCCAATTTTTTATGTTATTGAAGCACAATGGACATTTCCAAAAACAAATATTAATCAATATGAACTTGTTTCAAAATGGGGTTTCGTTAAAGAAGAAGTTTCAAATGCAAAAGCTATTATAAGAAATATACAACGTGACAATCGATGGTATAAATTTCGTGTTGCAGCTGTTACGCGATATGGACATTCACCATTTTCTATAACAACTAAACTTTTTCGTTTAAGTAAGATTTCTATAGAAAGACAATATTGAAAAATTGATTCTGAATATTATTTCTTTTAGCAAATGAATCGTATACTATATCAACAATTATAGATCCACCAAGAAATTTCTCGATCAAAGATTATCAATTCAATTCTAACACTATGAACATAACTCTAGTTTGGCAAAAACCGAATTTATCAGTTCATGAATATCAGGTGCGCAAAATATAAATGATATTCTTTTTTATTAATTAAAATCCTATACAAAGATCTACATATTCAAAATCGAGATTTTTCTTGTTACTAATGTACTGTACGTAGACATTTTTAGTTTGATAACACTAAACTTAGTCATGGGATGTATATATTTGATAATATCCAATGTACATTGAACTCGAATAAGATGATAAATAATCTCTTTTTATTATGTAGACATTTTTTCTTCTTTATAATTTGACATCATTTTTTCTATGAATATTTCCTTTTCTTTTTATCAGATCTCTTGGAAATCCGAGAATGATCAATCATCACTTGTAAATAGTGTTGATATATCATCATCATTATCTTCATTGGAATTCACCATTCCATTTCTTTCTATAGACAACTCCTATCTATTCAAAGTATGTACTCATTCTGTCTGAAGAAGTCAAGTAGCTACTTGTTATTTTCTCAGATTCGTTCAATGATCACATCCGACGGTAATCATATTCAAATGAGTTTACCAATACTAATTCATTTCAATTCGGACGAAGAATTTTTTCCAATAAAAAATTTTCAAATATCAAAACCTTATTTTATCAATGGATTGATAAAAGCCAACATATCATGGAGTAAAAATAATGATTCTCGAATCAAACAATATGATATTTATTGGATTGAAAATAAATGTCATTCAGATGTTTATTCATGTTGCTACCGACGAGATGCAGTTACAATACAAAATCATTTTCAATTATATGATTTACGTTTTAATTGTACATACTTAGTGAATATAAATGCCGTTGGATTAAAAGTTAAAAAATCCTTTCGGTTCTATTTTAATATTAGTTCGTGTGAACTAACAGAGGTTTACGGTTCGATTCGCCCACCATGTCAAACAGATCGAAAGACAAGTAAAATTTAGATTTTAGTTTGATTGATTATTTTAATTTTATTTCTCTGTTCTTCTTCTTTTTTTCCATTTTAAGTTGACATCTTTTCATCATTACCGCCGCTTGATCTTATTGTGAGAAGGAATGGATCAGGTTTCAACTTGCGTTGGCAAAATATTCAGTCAATTGGTAAGAAGTTTTTTTTTGTGTTTTCTTAAATGAATTAACTAAGTATCCGTTATACCTGATCGAATAGTTAATAATGCATTTTATCGATTGCGTATTGAACAATTACCAAATCATGTTGAGATTGCTTCAATTGAATTTCCTATTGTAAGATTTCTTTTTGTCATTTTCAATGTGAAGATATTTAATCGATTTTTAATTTAGATGATTACGAACTATTTTATACCCTATTCAAAAGACGTAGATGATCGATATCTTAATGTAACATTAAGTTTAATTGAGAACATGTCTGTACGACAACAACAATCGATATTGATTAATGATAAGAAAGAAGAATATTTTTATTCTCATGTTAATATGAATTCATCGTCAATAATTATTCACTTCAGATATTTTGCGTTATTTATTTGGTTTGTTTTGGTCATGATCATAAAATAAGAACAAACAAGAGGCACGAGTGTCTATTCACCGTCCGTATTCTAGCGCATCGCAATGCCCGGTTCTTGTTTTGATTGTAAACAAATCATCATTGTTGTTGTTTTTTCGCAAGTTCAATTCACATTTGTAGACTTTTTTTTATTATAGAAATAAATATTTATTTTTTTGTACACGTTACAATTGTTATTATATGATTGAAAACAGATTGCTATTTTTGTTCAACATTTTGATTGATTTTATTTGATAGAGAAAAAACTTTCAAGAGCGATGCCTTTCTGCGTACAGCATTGCTGAGTACAAATTTTCTTGTACTGAAGAATTTTTCTTTTGTTGAAGATAAAGCCCTAGCTTATTTTTAACTCATACTTAGTTACACGTTGTGTTTGATAAAAAAACAAAATTGTACATGTGATACTGTCGTGTCTCTTCATTTTTTTTGTTTTAAACTTCGAATTCATATGGTAGTTATTGTACGATATCAATAAGTATATATTACCTGTTTGTTCATCAGCAAATGAAGCAAGAAATTGATCTCGAATGTTCGAGCAATAGTGATCAATCAATAGAACTAATGTTTGTTTTGTAAAATAGAAACGGGAAGTGTACAATGATCAGATTACTGCATAGAAAAATCTAATTAATGGTCTACTCATTTCAACTAATAGTTGAATACTTGTAAAAACATTGCTTCGTCTGTATTCTCTCTTTCTCTATAGCTAAATAAGTACTGCATTCGATTTGATCACTCGCCAGTCAAATGCTGATCTTTTCGTTGATTATTCGTACTTGTATTTGATAAACGATAGCAAAGAATATTTTATTTCGTTGATTAATCCGATTATCAAGCAGCTTGTTGTTCAATTGGCCAACATTGAGAAACATATTTTTCCCATTAAAAGAAAAAAGTACTAGGTGTCAATATCATTTGTATAGTTCTAATAAATGGAACAGAATCAATCTAACCGCTGACGGTTAAAAATAAATTCAAACAATAGATCGTTATTATCAATGTTATTGAAGAAAAATATTCTTTTACATCCGTCATAGTTACTATATGTTTTCATTCAAAATGTTTTACTGTATTTTGCTGATTATTTGACTCGGATTGTTGATAGAATCATTGATTGATCTGTGTAGAAGTATAACACTGAAAGTGTATGAAATATTATCTAATTTATTGAAATCCAATACACACCAAGAATACTCATTAAATAGACCAACAGAACAATATCTCATTGTCTGAATAATACAAACAAAACAAAAAAAAGAACATCATGCTTGGACAAAGAGACTAATTAAAAGTTTTCTAGATGAAACATGCCCTATGTTAAAAAAGCGACTGATCCAATTTTAAGTTTAACAATAGTATTCTTATTGTCGAACATTAGTCTAGTTTTCACATCCATAGGATTAGACTTATCGAAAAACTTGGCCAGCTTGTGTTTTATCATATTTGACAAGCAAGATTTCAATATATATATATATACTTCTAAATTATTACTAGATAAAGACTTATTTATTTATTCCTCTGTTAACTTTTTTGTGGAACACCATGTAGAAGGAGTGTGAAAGTAATAGCTGCATAGGGTAAAAGAGCATTTTTATTTCGATTAGTTTCAAAATATTCGATAAGGAACCAAGCGAAATATTAAAACTTGGAGTCAATTTACGTTGTGGTAAACCATTATTAATATCATAAATTAGCTGCACTTTTTCATGCAAAATGCACTCATATTGTGATATCATTCTTTACTTCGCACGGCCAGTTATCGAATCATATGAAAAAAATGTATTCATTCATAGCTTATAAGAAAAAGAACGCAGACACTAGTTGGAGGTTAAGAAAACATGTTGATGTGAAAGAGCTTTTATCAGCGAAATTGTCTGGAAAAATACATTCACTATTTAGAATACTGAGGTATTCATGTTAGAGAGAGAGAGAGAGGCAATTACAGCCTAATACACTCCATTGAATCTAGGACCTTTTATAATTATTAGATGTTTTACTTTATTATTTTTGTATTTTTTGAATGAAAAATTGCAAATAGAAAGAGAATATTGAGATGTCAACAATAGTTGAGACGATCTATAAAAATTTTCATTTATATTACATTCCATTTAAATACTATTTGTTTCAAATGTCAAATCGAATTTCGTCTCTTAATGACTTTTGTTATTTCAAAGATATTGACTTCTGAAAAGTTCATCATAAATCTAGTAAATATTATATATTGGTATCATAACAATTTTTTTGAAGAAAATTCTGAACACATTTGAGTTAATTAGATGTTTTCATGATCATATATATATATATATATATGATTACCTTGGAATAGTAGTTTTTATTTTAAATATGGATGTTAGGGTCTAAGATAACTAAAAGGGAAAAGTTTGATGAGCATGAAAGATTTGTGAAAAGAAAAAAGCGTAGTCTTTCAATAATTGTTCATTGCAAAATTTATAATGATTTTGTTTTTGCATTGTCTTTAACAGCATCTCTTAAAATACTAAGTGATGGTTGAAATGCTTCGATATGAATTTGAGATGCTGGGTGATTACATTCAGCTAAATAATCTTGAATTTTATTCATAAATGGTAATGAGCCACATATGTATACATGGGAATCTACTGTTAATGCCCTTTGCAAATCATCTTTTGCTAATTTTTCACCTTGACAAAATAATTTATATTGATTTTCCGAAAGAATTGGTTTTAATTGATCAGCAAAAGCAGCATGTTCTTGTGTTGCTGCACAATGAATTAATGTTGCGCTATTTGCTTTATTTTCTTTATGTAATTCTAAAATTAATGATGAAAGAACTGTTATACCAATTCCACCGGCAACAAATAAATGATGCTTAACATCTTTAACTAATTTAAATGTACCAGCTGGAAAACTTGTTAAGATAGTGTCGCCTACTTTATAATTGTCAATTATTTCATTAGAAACAACACCTTTTGGATCACAATCAACTTCATCTTTAATAGCAACACGATAAGTTTTACCATCGAATGGTTCCAAAAGACTATAATGTCGATTATGAAAGGAGCCATCTTTTGTAATGCGAAGTGTAATATATTGTCCTGGATGGTAGGTATGCATTTTCCCACCATCATGGCGTTCTAGTGTAAGAGCAACGATTGGTCCACTGGCAACTGTTTCTTTTTTAACAATATTCAATGGAACAAAACCTTTATCATGTTCATCTGGGCCAAGTTCATTGTATAATTCTTGTTCTGCATCGATAAATATTTTGGCAATAATACCATAAGCAGCTCCCCATGCATCTAAAATTTCTTGTGTACCATTGTCACCTAAAAATTCTTTTATTGCAATAAGTAAATATTTGCCAACAATAGGATAATGTTCTGGTAAAACAGTTAACGCACGATGCTTATGAGCAATCAGTGCAACTTGTGGTGCAAGTACATCTAAATGCTCAATGTTTTCAGCAGCATAGTAAATTGTATTAGCTAATGCTAATGGCTGTGTTCCAACTTTTTGATTTGTACGATTGAATATATTTAATAATTCTGGATGAGCTTCAAACATATGTTTATAAAAGATGGAAGTTATTTCTTTGCCATTTTCTTTCAAGGCAGATGCTGTTGATTTAACAATTTGTTTTTGTTCTTCAGTTATAGACATTTTACAAGTCTAAATATTCAGAAATAAAAATCATCAATTAGTATTTCACTCATTTAATAAAATTAAAATTAAAATTAAAAGAATCCTTTTTCATGTCTCGCAGCACTTTGATTTTTATTATACATGATGATCTTTTATACGATCATTTGCTTATTGTAATACAGTAAACTGTAGATACAAAAATTAGAACATTTCTTTACAATATTATGATGGAATTTTTTATTAAAAATGGACTATAAACATAAAGAATATTGATTGTTTATTTTAGTTATAATTTGAATGAAAGTTTAAAAGAAATTATTTTTGGAAACTAGAAAAATTAAATATAAAATACTAAAAAAACCAAGAATCTGACTTGATGAGATGCCTACTGATATATATATAAATATTCGATTTATTAGTGATATGTACTATTGATATGATTGAATATAATATATGTGCTTCGATACAATTCTATGTCAATTCAGCTATTTACCAAAGTGTATTCTACGCACAAAAAAACATGGACCAATGAAAAGAAAAATGCTGATAACAACAACATGAGCTGGATAGGATAGAAAAAGAAGTCAAGGACAAATGAAGGTGTATTGTGCAAGAAATTATAACGACAGAAACACACGAAAAATATCAAATATATTCAACGCATGAGTAAATTATATGTTCGGTTCGAGAGCAATATTATGAGTACCTTTTTAGGTAACAGTCTAGAATGTCCTTGGTAAAAACTGTCCTCGGAAAATGGTCCTCTCTGATTTAGTCCTTCGAAAAAGTGTCCTCCTTGATAAAAATGTCCTCTAAGTAAAATAAAAGCAACGGTAGTCGATAATGTTAGAATTGCAGTTTAGTTTATTATAACGGATTAAATTTCATCTTATTTTTCATTCGCGACAAAAAGGAAAGATCATGCAATAGATCTCGCAGTGTAATCTGGGTATTATTGAACCAATCATATAATTCTTTGATTCGTTGTTCAGCAATTCTGGACTAGGATCGTTGGGTGTGTGTGAGAGTATGACTGCCAAAGTCTAAAAATCTGACGTTAGATCTTGAGCACCAGATAAGATCATACAAAAAAATCGTTGCTTGTGGAATCTTCCATCAGCTCATACTATCAGATTCTTGAAAGATCTTGCTGTATTGTAAGATATGAATACAAAATTTTAGAAAATCTTATGCAATATTAAGATCTTTCACGAATATTATAGTACGTGCCGATCTAAGATTTCTGAGACGACGAGTTTTTGCTTGATCCAATATGATCAGATTCAGAATCTTGACAGGTCTTAGTATACGATTGTTCCCCGGGGTGTGGGGCGTGGATATGAGATGTGGGTGTGCGATGTAACTGTGAACAAGAATATAGTAATACCAGACTCACAACTACACCCCACACTCACCCTTCACGATGAATAGGAATAATATACACCAATTTCAATGTTTAGGGGTGGTCGAAATTGGTTGGAATAGAAATTGGTGCATCTCTAACGACGAAGGACATTTTCATACAAAGGACCATTTCCCAAGAACATCTTTCACGAAGGACATTTACGCTACAGGACATTTTTGCAAGGATACATTCTAATCTATATTCTTTTTTTACATCCTACCAGGCTTGACAAATAAAAATTTGTATATAGTGTTGATTCCAGATGTAGGGAATCACTTGCACATTCAGAAATAAAATAACCTACTGGAGGTCAATAGCGACAAATAATTCAAGTATTCCAGTCGATTTCTTTTTTTATTATCTCTTCTAATGAAAGTGTGCATTGAATCATAAACTGCCAGCCGTCAAATAATGCCTTTAAAGTATAATATCGATAATATTTTGCTTTCATCTATATTATTAATTCTAGAAAGCAGTGCTTCAAGCATATTATTTTTATTTTGAGTTGCTTTCATCGTAGTCGATGTAAGATAAAGACGAGAGGATTCAGTGTTATGATGCAGATTTTCTGCTCAGTCACTCTTCGAACACCGGTAGCAGTACATTAAGATATGAAATTTTTTTAATTACGCCTTTGCGTATCTACGTAATTCCTATCATATGATAGATTCTCGTTTTCATCTTGTTTAAAGTAAAAAATAGCTAGACTGTATATATGACGTAATTAAATCTACTATTGTTTACTTTGAAAAGAATTATTTTACCAACGTTTCCTCTTAATTATTCAAGTATTTAAAAAAAAATTTTAAAAAGAAATATATGATTAATGTTGACGTATATAGCCGAATAAATATTAGTATTAATTTGATGCCACATACATTAGTACTAATTTGCATTAGTAATTATAATTGATATTAAATAAAATTTATTGTGTAGAATGGATAGAGTAATTGAAGCTTTTCTTTTGTAAAATTAGATTCCGATTTTTAATTGAATATAAATTAATGACACCGCGCTCTAAATATTGTTCGAGGAAAAGGAAAGATAATTGTAAGACTTAGGCTTTTTTTTGCTATGACAGTATCTTTTGTCTAATCTCTTTGGATGAAGGTTATCATATGCAAACGCAATAGAAATTTATCAATCGATATGATATTCATGCATGATTTATTTATCTTATCGATATGAGCTTACGTTGCCTGTAGGAGAATCTAGTCACCTCGCTAGTTATGATCAATGAAAACTGAAAGAGTAGCTTTGAATTAGATCTAGATTAGTAGGCATTTCCATATTTTGTTGATTGCTCAGCAGAATTCACCATACCGCCATAATCTGGTAAATATCAAAGTGCGAAGATAGAAGAATTTCCTACATAAGCCATAGTTTTGTTTTAGTTCAGTATTGAGTTACAACGAATGATTTTATTCAAGAAAAAATTATTGAAATCTGACTTCATCATTTCTAATTTGTTGAAGTCTACGAAGAACTTATCGAAATAGTTAGTCATTCATTTCAACGTATTTTAACAAGAATAAAAGTAAAAACGGCTGAGAATCATCTCAATCGCACAGTACTTACATATTTACTACGAAAAAAGTAAAATGCCAAAGATTGATCTCTCAACATTCTTTATTATCAGTGCTGAATAATAAAGGTGCCTTTTAATCAATAGTAGCATGCTTTCCTAAAAGCAGTTTCAATCAGTACTACCCAAAACCAATATACGAATCACGAAAACTTGAACACTAAAAGCAGTTGATACAATGAATGTGCCACATGACGACTAGCATTCATACGTGTGGCTATGAATCTGTTATGTAAAATATGCCACTAAAGTAAAACAGAATTTCTCAAAAGATAGGAAATTCTTGAAAAACATTTTTCTTGATATCATAAGAATTAGAGGAAAAGTTGAATTCACGTTATCCTTCAATTAATTGAAGAGAAACAAATCAATTTATTTAAAATACAAAAAACGTGATTTAAAACAAGATACCGAATTATTCATCAATAATAAAAAGCAGTTTTCATTTGAGATATGAATCAACTTTTGGATGAAGTCTTTCATAGACAAGGAAAATTTGAATTGCTACATAGTTATGTCGGTCCCAATCAATGATTTCATAGCTAGTACAAAAATCAAATTTGATCAATAGTTTTTGAATTTTAATTTGTTCTTTTTTTGTTAGTTTTTTAGCATAGTACTATCATCAATTATTATTCTGCCAAATGAAGGTATAGTTTGATTCATCTTTATTACTCTCACACCTAAATGTACATAAATATAGTTCAATTGTACACAGTCCATTATGAAAAGTTTCTATTTGAACCTGCTATTGGTAATATCTCTGCATCAGATTATCTTAACGATTTGATTGACGTTGGTGCTCAGTATTGATTCTACTTCAGTTTCTAGTGTCGAACTTTTTGTACTTGAATATTATCAAACCAATATACTACAAATCAACTATTCAATACAATAGAAATTTATTGCTTAAATTCTTTTTCAAAAACAGCCATCAAATCAAAGGAGACAATGAAATTTTAAAAAAAGGCAGTAAAAGGGAAAAAGGCTAAATCAATGTGTCTTTAAGACTGATGCAAGTACGAATAAGCATAAAAATAAAATAAAAGATTATTTCATCAATTTTTATGAGGCAGATAATAATATAATTGAAATTTATCCGTATTATTTTCAAGACCATCAATTATATCCGATAAATAAACGGAAACATTTTCAATTTGTTGTACTTCTTTTGCTTTCCGTAAAAATGGATGTTCTAATAATTTTTTGTATTTCGGTCGTTGATTTTCATCTTTATTTAAACTAAAACAAAAGCAAACACAATTGAAATTAGATAAATCAAATATAAAAATATGAGTTTTACCATGTATTTACAAAATTTTTACAATTATCAGAAAGACGATCAATTTTAAGTTCTATTGGAGGTCCTTCAACAATCTGTTGTAATTGATCAAATGGTGATGTCCATTCTCGAAATGGAAAATATCCTGTTGATATTTCATACTAAAACATAAATGTACAGATTTATGAAATTTATTTTGTCTTGTCTTGAAATTATTTACAAGTGTTATTCCAAATGACCAAACATCAGATCGAACATCGTAACCTTCACGCGTTGATCGTGTTGGATCAAGACGTTCAGGCTTTAGAAAGAAGAAAACAAAACGAGAAAAATTATCAAAATTAATTATCACTACTATTTTTACTGGTAAGTACGGACGGCAACCTGCATCACGTGTTTTAGCGATAGAATCAATCAATTGACCACTTATACCAAAGTCACAAAGTTTGAGTGTCTTTCTTGAAACTAAAATATTGGACGGTTTGACATCTCGATGAATAATGCCCCAACGAGATTTTATGTAATCCAATGCTTGTAAAGTCTATTAAATGATTTAAATAAGAATATATTTATACAATTAATATATAAATAACAACCATTACTGATTATTGTTGCTGATTCATACGAAAATAGTTTGATTCTAGGAGAGATTTTATTCATTTGCTTAATCGAACAAATAATTTCTTCATCGAAAAAGTGCAGAAACATTTCCGACACGTACGAGACACTACTAAGAATGGCTAAAGTTTTTTTGTTTTTTTTGTATTAAACTTTGTTCATACGAAAAACAAAACATAATAAGAACGCTTTAATCAAATAGTGTTTTCAGCTCATTAGAAAATAACATTTTAATCAAATGTAGCATCTTGAAGAAACAAAGATCAAAATTAATTCTAATTATCACCATTCTGGTTCCACTATCCTCAAGAATGCACATCACTCATGAAGATTAATGTTTCCTGAAAATTTAAGTTTTCCCAAAATTATTCTCCTGAAGCTCTCAAAAAGGGCTAAGATATCCTTAATTTTCTAACTATTTATTAACGAAATAGTTAACCGTTAGAAACAAGAGATATTATTCATATATGATCTAGAATTGTATATTAACAACTTTTCGTCTCACTCGTGAAAGTAAGATCTTCATTCTCTTCGTGTACTTCGGCACGTCTTCTAGATCGTGCTACACATAATTATAAAAATATAGCATTACCGAACTTACAGCATAAGTTATATAGGCAAGAATACTTTCTGGTATAAATTGGTCAAGTTTATGATAAACAAATTTATAAAAATAATCCAGTGATGTGTTCATTAATTCCATACATATCCAACAATCTCCCTAAATAAATAGAAAATAGAAATATATATATATATATATATGAAGTGAAAAATTGAAAATATTAACTTCTTTAAAAAGAGCACCAAAAAATTGTACAATATGTGGACAATTATTTTGACGCATAACAACATCTAATTCATTGATCATTTGCTTTTGACATCGTTCATCAATCGTCGAACGAATACGCTGAACAAAATTGAAAAATAATTAATATTTAAATGAATATTACTAGACACTTTAACAGCCATTATAGTTCCACTTTTTTCATGCAGCATTTTACACACAATACCAAAATTCCCTTCTCCAATTACACCACGATCGATTAAATCATTTGATGTAAATTTATATGACTATGTAAGAAAAAGTTCTTTACAATTCAATCTAGTTAAAAATCCTAAAACAAACTTTGGTATCTGATAAGCGAAGTTCGCCAGTGCCCAAGTCACGATGATTGGATGATGATGAAACTGGGCGACTATAATCGAATAGATTCAATGAAGAATTGTTTTAGGTATGCAATGACAAATTAGAGTTAACGTGGGTTATTGAGAAGCAATATCAAATCTTTTGATTTATTGTCGACATAAATAATATCGTGGTTCATATGTAATATTTACAATTTCAAATTTCATTCGATACTGATAAAAACAGAGATTCAATCTTTTTATTATACTCATCAAGCAAATAACAGTCTAGTTTTGAGAGAATTCTCGTAAAATAAACAGTAATATTTTAAATTAAATGTACTTGACATAAGAGTCCCCATGGAAACTATGTTCAAGGCTCTTTCTTTGTGAACTAGAACGAATCTAGTGTAACTTCTTATTAAAATACTATGATCACTGTTTAAATTTTATGCAATTCAACTCTAAATTGATGTAATTCGGTGTTGAATTAAATGCTTTTTTAAAATATATCCTATCATAAAAATATCAATATTGAATTTTGTATAATATAAAAAGGTACAATTCGTTTGTACTGTAAAATCTAGTATTCTCTCTCTATATGCTAGCCCTTATTGAAAATAAATTTGGGACAAAAAAGTGAAGTATGACAAAGATCTAGGATAAGAATGGGTTTTAATGTTTTGTTGAAAAATTGACTAGCATGACAATCATACAGACTTTCATCTATGAATCCTTTGAAATTTTCTCATGTCCAGATATAGAGCCTAACTGTTGTAGTAAAATTTACGGTGAACTTGACGAAACATTTGTAAATTTTTATTTATAACCTCCTCATATCTATACAAAAGAATGAATTTAATATTCATTTCAATTCATACACTAATTCCAATGGGTTTCTTTCCTAATAATTAGCTGTGGTAGTGATGAAACAAAAAAATTATTTTGCGAATTTGAGTGATAAATTTACTCCTTGCATTTAATAGTTTTATCTAGATAATGACTAGGAGATAGTAATTAAAAAGTAAATAAATTCTAATACGAATACGAATATGCTCTTACATGGATCTTCATAAATTTTCGAAAGGAAAGTATCTTACATAATAGGATTAATATCTTCAACGTTGGAATTTTGTTTTCGTTTACTATTCGGTGATTCTGTTGCAAAATTTAATGGTTTAGCGATTGGTTTGTTCACTAAAAATAAAATATGCAATTGGAAAGTTTTTATGGATTAGAAAAATTTACTGTTCTTTTGGTTTGTTAATGGTTGTATTTCGCAACGAACAATCTACATCTAGAAAGAGAAAGAAAAGGGATTTATGATCAAGAAGTTCGTGCCATATGTTAAAGTAATAGAAAAAAAAAGACAAATAAATGCAAGAGAATAATTGATTAGTCTTTTTATATGTGATAATATTTTCATTTGTTGTGACTCATCTACGATATGATGTGTTTTTCGATCAATTCTGTTTCTATCAGAGACAAAAAACAAACAAATTTTCTTTTATTGAAATTTCACTCAACGAATTCATGCAAAATAGGAAATGAAATATTCAAGAAAAAAAAACTTTCTTTTTTTTTCATTTAAAGAAAGAAAGAATCATAATGCAGACAATGAGTCTTCTGATAATATTGAACGAAGCATTCAAATTGATAAGGTGATGTCTCATTAACATTTCTTTGACTAATTTTATATTTAATTAAAGAAGTTCTGAAAGTTTTGGAAACATTTTCCATATATCTTATGCCGTTATTGTAACAATTTCATCATTAATATCATTTTCTAAATACTGGAACCAAAGATTAAGTTTCCAGGATTTTTCTACTAAAAAATTCTCCATAAAACTATAAGATTTTGTTTTACTAAACAATATTCTCCATCGATTAAACTATAACGATATGTCCAAAAATAAAATTCTTATACATAACAGACGCTTGTCGAATAATGCCCAGTAAAAACAATTTTTTTAGTTCCTTAACTTCGAAGTTTCTAATCATCAGATGCTACAAAGTTAAAAAATGCTCACAACTTCTTTTATGAATGATCTGCAATGAAAAATATTATAATCTACAAATGATGTTCCCAGATCAATTAAATTATCGATATGATTTTCAAGAGTATTTAAAGCAGCAAGAAAATTGATCTTCTGTTAACGAATACATTTCTTGCGCTTCACAGAGAAAAGTAAACAGGGATAGTGTACATAAATTTGATTCAATAGAAAAATCGTCACACAAATGAAAAATACTATCGACATATATAAGTTATTAATAAATAATACGAATAAATCTGGAATAAACCTTAACAATGATCAATTCATCATGAAGATTTACAATTTGATATTGTTCACCAAAAACTTTAGACTTTTTTCTATCTGTTTTATTAGAATTGATGATCGAGTATTTTAATTATGTGTCATGATTTGTTTTTCTACAATAAATTTGCACCGAAACTAATCCATATTATATATTATGATAAAAAAGACAAATGAAATTTTTCAAGTGCACGATAGTCTAAAATAGGTAATAATTAGTTTTATGGTCAGTTTTAGTTGATATTTCAAATCGACAAAAATATATCTAATTTAAAGATTTAAATCTATAAAAGTTTAAATTTTCATTTGTTGATCTATTCTACTTCATATCCATATATCCGTATCCGTCCATCATTCATCAATCAACGTTGCTTGTTTTTTACTGGATAATTTTCGATCAATAACATTTTTCAAACAACCATTAGAATAGTGTACAATCCTCTCAATTCTTCAACTTGATTCTATCATTGCTTCGTCTATAAACCAGTTATTTATTTTCCAAATAGTTTATATAACATAACAATTGTATTTTTGTAGATCTATTTTACGTTTGTTTTTGTCAACTGAAAAAATTGATATTTATTTTTGGTTCTAGATAAATTAATTATCTAGAAAAAAAGAAAATGTGTTCTCGTTTGGTATTTCGATCTATGCAAGGTTCGGCACCATCGTTGGTCTTCAATCGTTTTCTCTCGTTGACACAAATACAATTCTCAGCAGCAGCTAAATTAAAAGAAAAAACAGCAACTGGCACAAAGCCTGAAAAGCCTGCTGTTAACATTGAAAAACCATCAACTCTACCAACAACTAAAGCGAGTGATATAACAGCAGAGGATAAAAAAGCAATTCCACCACCAACAACGGGTACAAATGACCCGAATAAAACATATTCGGAAAAAATTCATCGACTTGTTGATGAAATAAGTAAATTATCATTAGTAGATGTTATGGATTTAAATGAATTATTAAAAGTAATGTTTTGTTTTAAAAATATAAGATTCGATTTATAAGTTTTCTTTTGATTTTTTATCAGAAAACACTCAAAATTCAAGATGTGCCAATCATGGCATCTGGTGGAGTTGGTAATGTAGCACCGGCAGCCGTACGTCTTATTGATTCTTTTGTTTTTATTGATTTTCGTTGCTCGTTTTTCAGAAGAAAGAAGAAGACGATGAAGAAACTGCTCGGCCAACAGCTCAATCCGTATTTAAAGTACGTTTGATTAAATTTGATGATACGAAGAAAGTCCCGGTTATTAAACAAGTAAAAGATGTTGTTGAGAACATCAATCTTGTTCAAGTAAATATAAATGATTTTTGTTGTTGTAAAGATTTGTTTTTGATTGATTTTTTCAGGCTAAGAAGTTAGTTGAATCAATTCCTCAAGTTCTTCGAGATAATTTAAGCAAAGCTGATGCTGAAACAATGAAAGCTAAAATTGAAGCTGCTGGTGGTGTGTGTGTAGTTGAATGAGAGAAATTTCGTGTTTGTCAGCCTAGGCTAGTTTGTTTTCTTGTTCTTTTGTTAACTTTTGTTTTTTTTTGTAAAAAAAAAGAAGAACAAATAGAAGAACATCATGTTTTTACTTCATTTTTGTCGATATTCTACTAGCAAGAAGCAAAATCATATGCGTAGAGAGTTTTGTTACTAGAAAAAAAAAAATTTCCTACTCGTTTTAGATAAAAACAAAAGGAAGTGATGCATTAGAATAGAAATGCAATGGTGATGCTGCACCGGTATTACATACGAGTTTGAACTTGTCTAAACATGCATTTAATTATATGATATTTGTCAAGTAGGTAAACGAATTATAAAACTATGGTGATTATGAATTGATTCCTTTATTTTTGCTTTTGGATCGGTTGGTGATTTCAAGAAAATGACTGAATTCGATTTTATAATAAATCACTAAACGTTGCTAGTTTGAGAAAGACGTACTTTGACAATTCAATTAGGTTTTTAGAAAAAAAATTCAGCTATTTTCTTGACGAGATCACTGTCGAACCAGAAAATCAGAAATCAATCGAAGACTAGGATTATTTTATCATCTTCACCAGTATAGTCTACAAACAAATATTTAGACCAACACAAAACTGTAGATGAGACCAATACATTATCATTATTGTATCTTAAACTTGGGATGGAAAGTAAATCATCAGTGTCATATTATAATATTATACTTTGCTTTTTATTCATGAAGAGTCTAACAAACGAATGATTAAAATTAAAACGAGAATAAATTGATTCTTTTCGAAGAATTTGATATGCTCATATTTGTTTTTTCGTTTGATTCTCTGTTTCTATATACAATTTAGGGCATATTCTAAAAATGATCTATGTTTTAGATAGAAATAAATTTATTTATTTCGTTAAACGGAGGCTAATAATGGCTCTCACGAAACGTCTTCCACTTGCGACGTGTAAATTTAATATTAGTTTTCATGTTAAACATTAATTTATATCCATTGTAATTTTTAGTTCTTCAATTGAGTAGTCGACATTTAGCTACTCAAGCAACATCATCACCTGCAGCAACAAATCCACCAAAAGCACAAGCGCCAGCAACACCACCGCCAGCTCCACCCCAAAAAGTCTGTTGAATATATAAAGAGATTTTGACAAACTAATTTTTTTTCTTTTTTAATTCAGACCAAATTCGGCCCATTGAAAGATGAAGATCGTATTTTTACTAATCTTTACGGTCGTCACGATTGGCATCTAAAAGGAGCAATGTCTCGAGTATGTTTCTATTTTTTGTAATTAAAATTATTTTAAATACAAATTATAAATAGGGTGATTGGCACAAAACAAAAGAAATAGTTTTGAAAGGTTCAGGTTGGATCATTGATGAAGTTAAAAAAAGTGGATTACGAGGTCGCGGTGGTGCTGGTTTTCCATCTGGTTTAAAATGGAGTTTTATGAATAAACCTTTCGATGGACGACCAAAATATTTAGTTATTAATGCTGATGAAGGTAAACATGATGAGCTTTTGTTTAAATACATAGTATGTATCAATATTTTTGTTTTTGCAGGTGAACCTGGCACTTGCAAAGATCGAGAAATTATGCGTCATGACCCACATAAACTTCTTGAAGGTTGTCTAATTGCTGGCCACGCAATGGGTGCACGTGCTGCCTATATTTATATTCGAGGAGAATTTTATAATGAAGGTTCAAATTTACAAACAGCTATTCATGAAGTAGATATTTTTTTGAACATTAAATATCTAAGTAGAATCTATCAATAAAATTCATTACTAGGCATATCAAGCTGGTTTACTTGGCAAAAATGCTTGTGGAACTGGTTATGATTTCGATATATTTGTTCATCGTGGTGCTGGTGCTTATATATGTGGAGAAGAGACTGTAGATATTTATTAATTAATTTGATTTAAAACCATGAAAACGAATGTTTTTCTTCTTCTTAGGCATTAATCGAATCCTTAGAAGGCAAACAGGGTAAACCACGTTTGAAACCACCATTCCCAGCTGATATTGGTTTATTTGGTTGTCCAACAACTGTAACTAACGTTGAAACAGTTGCTGTTGCACCGGAAATCTGTCGTCGTGGTGGTGATTGGTTTGCTTCGTTTGGACGCGAAAGAAATCGTGGAACTAAAGTTTGTTTGTTTTCCTTTCGTTTTTTCTTATCAAAACTTATTTGTTTATTTATTTAGTTATTTTGTATAAGTGGACATGTGAATAACCCAGTAACAGTTGAAGAAGAAATGTCAATACCATTGAAAGAACTTATTGAAAGACACGCTGGAGGTGTTCGCGGTGGATGGGATAATTTATTAGCAATTATTCCAGGTGGATCATCAGTACCTTTGATACCAAAAAAGTAATTAATTGGCATACTTGAAGAATGATATTATTTAAATCTTTTTTAATATTTTAGAATATGTGAAGATGTTTTAATGGACTTTGATGCACTCGTTGCTGTTCAATCAGGTTTGGGTACAGCAGCCGTTATTGTTATGGATAAATCAACGGATGTTATCAAAGCTATTGCTCGTCTTTCGGATTTCTATCAACACGAATCATGTGGACAAGTAAATAATAATGTTTTATTTATATTGATGTTCAATCGAAGTTATTTAATCAAACAGAGAATTTTACAGATATTATTTGATATGAATTAAACTAAATTTAAACAACCGTCATAGTATGAAAATATGTTATACATATGAAAGTTACAAGCGAGTCGTGTAAAATGAAATTATACTTGAAAAATAAGGAGATTTTTGGATGATAATCAAACTGTTCGTTTTAATAATTATATTTTAACAAAAAAGATAGAATTTGTCAAAAAAAAATGGGCTTAACATATGTTGAAGTTTTCAATCTATTCGACATCTCTCGTTTTTGATATCTTTTTGTTGACCTCAAATAAATGATAGTTTTAAAAATAGCATGTTTTCTTTGAAAAAGAAATCTAATTAATCAATCTTAATTCCTAAACTGTTTGTGAAAATTTTGAAAAACAATTTCACGAACACTTGATTTTGTGTTCGAAAAACAAAAAACAATATTTGGGCAGGGGCATTCTTAAGTATAAACATAATTCATCCGATTATTTTTTTTTCTTGTGAGACATTGTGTACCAACAGTGAAATAAAATAGTTTAATTGCCAAATTTTACTTCAAAAGAAGTCATTAAATAGAGTTATTCAAATAGGGCATGAATAGTCATTGCCAAGGTGCTTGATAGTTCTTGCTTAGCTTTTATATCGACGAATTAGTGTATCTTATATTTTTTTCTCATAATGAAAACTGCTCGGTTCAAATTTTTTCGCGCCTGACCAATTTTATAACAAGACTTGAACTTGAAAAACAATAGTCAGCCGTTTACGTTCAGATATGTTATAACAGCGTCATAAATAAATGGACCAAAACTTTCGCTAGATAGATCATAAAACTGAACGGAAAGTGAAAAAAATTGTCTGAAAGAATCCAACTAAAAACTTTCTGTGTTTGTTCATTTATAGGTTAGTTTGAAATAAAACATCTATGATTGTTACTTGTAACTTGACTTCAGATAATATACTTTTATGACACCATTTTTATTTAACTTTAGTTCTTTTTAATAAACTATCATTTTGACGCGATCCTATATGTAAATATAATTACATTGATAAAGAAAATAATTATATTATTTAGTGTACGCCATGTCGTGAAGGAACTGGTTGGCTAGCTAAAATGATGAATCGATTTGGTAAGAAAATAGATTTCATTCGACTTGATTTATTTATGTTTGTAATTTAGTAACTGGCAATGCCCGTCCAGCAGAAATTGATATGATTTGGGAATTATCAAAACAAATTGAAGGTCATACAATTTGTGCTTTAGGTGATGCTGCTGCATGGCCTGTTCAAGTAAAATTTTCGATATTGAAAAGCAGAACCTAGTTTCATTGTTATAAAAATTTATTTCATGTAGGGTCTTATTCGACATTTTCGACCAGAAATAGAACGTCGTATGGCTGAATATGCCGCAAAACATGGTGATGCCAAAACAATCAATGCCAGTGCTCATTGAACTTAATGAATACTCTAGTTTTTCCTAACCATCTTTTGCTGCTTTTTTTTTATTGTACAGAGTATTTCTAGATCAGAGTTCTTTCCCTCCCTTATACGGCCAAATAAACTCCATAAGAAATTTAATTGAAACATTTTATTTTTAATTAAACAGCTGTCGTACTATTTAGTGTTTGTGAAAGAATTGCTGGCTCAACAGCAACAATAACACTAAGAACAACATTAATTACAGTTATAAAAAGGGATATTATAAGAGAAAAATTATTTAAAGATATTAAGCGATGTTGCCGTTGTTTTTTTCCTAAATCATCTGTACCTAATAGAACCAAAACACAAGCATTTATAACTTGAAAAACTATTGATGCACAAACAAGTCCTAATCCAACTGCCCAAAGCGTGTCTTTGTTATCTTTATTACCAAGTAGAGTTTTCAATTGTACAGCATTTGTTGCTAGTAGTGCAATTTCTAAATTACTAATAGCTACAGTTTTTTTTGTTGCATAACTATTAACTGTAGTTTTTCCTTGATCTAATTTATTGGGATCATCGTTAGAATCTTCGAAAGTCATGTCACGCCTCGGCATTCTAGATTTAATCAGAAGATTTAAATTAATCAAGCACTCGTTTCTCACTTAACTTACATTTTACTGTTAATAATAAAGTCTTTAACAATGTAACGTCGTTTGTTAGCAATACTCCTCCGTGTACACGAAATAACCTATGTGAAAAATAAAAGACTTATGATACTAACGAATTGACGACAGTTAACAAATGATAAAAAGATCTTCTTGGCTATTGACGTAAAAGACGAGAATAAATATGAAAAACAATTTCTTAACTCTTACATATAAAAAATATTTGTTCTCAAACAAATATTTGAATAGATAGCATATATCACGCTTTTCGTTTTTCATGTGTGCCTCATCTGATATATAGCTAAGAATTGTTTTATCTTTGAATAAAAATGTTCGTTTAATTAAAATGCATATTTCTTGCATTGATGTTTTCACACTATTGGTTTTCGTGTTTTGTTTAAGAAAATAATGTGGCCTATAACTACAATAAATTGTATCTATCTTTCTTTTATCAAGTCATATTTGAATTGTTTATTCATGAATCATCTACTGAATTCTCCTTTTGAATATCAAGTAGCAACAGTCGAAATATAATGCAAATCACATCTGAATACTGTTGTTTTTGTGTTTTTGTTTCTATTCGAGTAATGTAAAATGTTGAAATTTTTGTTAGACATTTCTAAATGATAGATTCATATTTAAAAAAATATGCCTTTCATAAACAGCAGATAATTGAGATTTTGAAAAAACGAACATCGCTAGGTAACGGATAGGATGTGTTCATGTTGTTAAATTGTTTCAATCATGGATTAATAACTTTGTGACAATAAAATGAAAATTCTTCATATAAAAGAGATAACAAATAATAGAAGAACTGCAGGTTTGTTTCTTTTTGCCATTGTTATAAAATTGCTGGGACATGCGTTTTTAACGATGAACGAATCAAAATTAAAATAGAACTGAATTTTTTTTGAAAAGCTCCAGCAAAATTATTTGTATCTTAGATATAATTGAAATTTTGTTTTTCATTAAAACAGATTCTCTTGTAAACAGTATGGTAGATATATAGAGCTCAAATTATTAGATTAAATTTTTCTTTTTTGTTTTCTTTAATAAAATATTTTTCTTACTAATAAAACTCACGTTCTGTCCACGATTAAAATCTGTTTAATCAATATATCCATAATTGAAAAAAGAAATTAAAGAATCAACACAGAAATTAGTAGTTTTACTGTACTTTATTGATCAAGGAAATCCTTCTTTTAAATTACGATCAAGTCTTATCACAGTCTCTTTTTCATTAACAAAAGAAATGTTCATTCAAGTCTTACCAAATCTCATTGAACAATTTATCAAGCAACGAAAACTTGGTTTACGTTTTTTTTTCATCGTATAATGAATGATACAAGGCATCCTCTCCCCAACTATTTCTAGCTATGAGAATGCAAGAAAAGAAAAATCAATAACAAAAGAAGGATCACGTTGATCTCTAATGATGTTGAACATATTGTGTCATGATAAATATATATTTATATTTATATGTGAGTGTATGTGTCTGTGTGTTTCTAAGATGGATCATCAATCATGTAGGCGGACTATGTGGAATCTTACGCCTGTGGAAGAAGAATTCATAATAACGATTCGTAACATGCTATATAAAAAGTCTCTTGAATTATAGGCTAAGAAATTTCGAGTCTCATCAAACGTGGCAAACAGAAGAGAGATACGTTATCATAGAGTATGTCAGATGTTTTTGATAGCAGCTTATGAAAGACCTACAATACAATTTAGCAGCGACATACTACAGAGGGTGGCATTACCACAAACTGACATCAACCATCGCCTATGAATAAAATCTCATTAAAGTGTCTGAACGAGTTCTTTTCTTTATTTCTGTAGAATAAGTAAATTAAGGTTGAATTGGCTTCTTTCAAATTAAATAGAATAAAAATTCTCTCTTTAACTATATACTAAGAGTAGCACGTCTTACTGGAAATTTCAATCATGCATTGATTGAATTAACAAGCTTGATTTCTGAAGCAAATACTGAAGCAAAAAAAGATTTATCTTACATTCCAGTGTATAAATGATATTATAGTTCGATTTATCTATGCAAAACCATTAGCTACGCTGTGCATGGGCTGCTTTAATCATTCATAGAATCATTTAATCAGAAAACAAAATTACTGCTACATTCATTGTAGAATTGTTTACAAAAAAATTGAAGATTTTCTAATAGTATTTATCCTCGAACAGTGCGTAGTTGTAATCATCTTAAATGTATCATTTATAACATTTTATATACGTTCAAAATGGACATTAACTACTCCTATTCATTATTACTTTATAAGATTGAAGAAATATACGACGTAGAATGTGAAAAATTTTATTGCAAAGAATTGATTATTTGCTGCTAGAAAAGACCAAGTTTGAGATTTTCTTACTTAGTCAAAGATTCATGAAATCGACTCTTCGTCTAGTCCATTAAGTAATCATTTTACATACATTCTGTTTTCGTCGACTGCCATTTAGTCTTGCTGAATAGAGCCGTATTCACTCTGTCAGATGGTACATCATCTATTACTCTCTTTTTTCTTGAAAGCAAAATAGTTTTAATCAAGTCTTATATCATTTTGATGGTCTTCACAACGGTCAATGTTTCATCTGCTTTGATGTTGAACGATTTCATTCGGTAACGTATCATTTATCAAATGCAAATTGTTGATTAAATTATTCAAATTGAAATAATCTTTTGATAGACTGCACGTAAATATTTTAAATTGAATATGAATTCTTCATATAGTTAATTTTTCAATACTTAAGAAATGCTTGAATAGACACATACGATAAGTAAGCATCCCGCACATTTATACGTAGAACTGAATGGCATAGATTCAGAGGAAATGGAAATAAAACATTGAAATATTAACTAGCGATTATTAGCCCAGTCAAGTATTTGATATTCAGTCATGAACATGAGGAGTTCAGGTAAAAACTTAGCAGATCGATTCACATGCAAGATCTAATAAAATAGTCAGTGCGAGTTTCACTATAAGATAATATATATAGAATCAACCTGATCATTAATGATATCTCGATATTTTAAAATATTTTCACTTCATTAATAAACAACTTATACGAAAGTAAAAAACTGAAAGTGAGTGTTATCATCGGTAACTGATTTATAGTACTCGATAATAGGCACAGAGATTGAAAGTTATATTGTTTGCTAAAAGAATTAATTTTTCGTGAAAATTTTGTTTTCAGATGATGATGAACCATAGAAAGAAATATCTGAATAAATGAATTTAATAATAAATTATCAAAAAGTGAACATGATTCATTGCAATGAAAAAACACTCATGTGTCATGTATGTTTCTATGATTGTGACATTTGGAATTAAATTCACATATCATTACAGTAACATCGACAATCAGTAAACTCATCATGAACTACATGAACAAGATTTTAACAGCAGAGAAATACACGATGAACCCTGTGTCACACTTGTGTAAAAATCCGAATGATTTCTTTTCCTTATTGCTACTTACGGGAAAGAGTAAATATGAAAACTTTCGTAGGACATAGCAATTCAAAAACTGTATCTTGACTGTAAAAATATCTGTTCGATCTCGATTGTGTTCAGTTACAAAAATTGTACAAATGCAAGGCACTAGTACATATATCAATTACATTTAGATTTGCTTCAATGTGGACATATAATCACAAAAAAAAGGAATTATCTATTTTGCGCTATGATATATCTTGATGTTTCAATGAATAGTGATGTTCATCTGTCACTGCTCTCTTATTGACAGCTTTCTCTCGCTACGCATCTCCTAAGTCAACGGAAAACACTGAATATTTAATATTATGAATAATCACGCGAGACCCTAAGCAATAATCTCAATTTATTAAAACATAAAACTCTATTAATATCGAATAAAATAATAAATAAATAACAACCAACAATTTTTTCTCATTAGTTAATTGAAAGGTCAATGAGTTGTAAAGTGATTCTTTTATTTTTTTTTTGATATGCAAAAATTTCGATAGGGAACTATTTTTTGTCAATATAAAATAATCTGTTTTAGAGTAGAAGATTAATAAGATATTCTCTATTGTAATCTAAAAATATACGCGGCTGTGATATATTTGCTTGATGTAACAATAAAAATTTATAGTATCAAACTACTAGGTTTTTCTATAAGAATTTTCTATTCGAATGAATAGATATTGATTAGCTTTCAATCAGAAGAACGATATTATTCGCTGCATATTATGAATATGTAAATACAATAGTGATCGATTTTCCATACTTCATGATTAGTCGCTTATATACTAAAATCTATGAATAAGTTATTATATTTGAACAAATACTTTCGTCTCCCTATTATTGTTCAGGTTTTTTAGAAGACCTATGATGCGTAAATATTAATGAACGATATTTCTCCATTAAGATTAAACAAATAATGTGAAGATTACATCTAGAAAGAAAATTGATGAAAATCAGAATTCCATTTTCATGACAAAGTCTAAGGATGAATGATTCTACTTTTAATGGTGATGCACTCCAGTTACTACTAGAATAATTGTCGAGAAGGATGTACTTAACGAAATATCGAGCAATAGGAAATAATCTACTAGTATGCGGATGGCTCAATTCTACGGAAAGATTAATTTTTCGCTTGAGAAAAGTTTTCATAACAAGTATAAAGAATAAGATAATCCTTTGCTTTGATATAGAGTGCAAAGTAAAAGAAAACGAAAGTTCAAATTCTGTAGATTACAAATGATATGCTTATTTTTGGGAAAGATTAATGTATGTGAATCATTTTAATTTTAGACAAAAGTTGCATGCATAGACGATAAAAGCGAGCCGTCTAAAGAAAAATAATTAAAGAGGACATCAATCATAGACTAGTATAACAAAAGAAACATTTTTATAAAAGTAGAAAAAGAAAAGAAATAATTTTAGATTGACAACAACTTATCATGGCATATTGTCTGTTTCAATAGTTTCTACTTGCTTTTGTTTATTCAATAGTATAAAATGAAATAAATTCTGTCTATCTTAGAATTGTGAAAAAAGTTTGTCTTTAAAAACTAAATATCTTATATCAAAACTTTGATTCAAATGTTAATTTTCAGTCATATCCGCAAGGGGGAAACGGCGGGCTTTTGTACTTAAAGTTACTTTGAGCTACTTCGACGTACTGTAAGCTATTTCAAGTAATTTGCTTTCACCTATTTTTCAACTTCACATTTACTTGAAGTTATCTGAAGTTACTTGTTCTAACTTTGTGCTACTTGAGTGATACTTTTAGCTACTTCAAGTAGTGTACTTTGACGTACTTTTGTGCTTTAAGTCCACTGTTTCCCCCTTGCATATCCGCAATCCAATTCAGCAGTGTTCAAGGACTGAAAAATAGGAATTTCTAATGTACCAAGGAATTGTCAGCGTCGTTGTGATAATTCCTAGAGGAAATGGGAACCAACTACCGGTTCCTTCACAGTTCCACCATTCACGAAAGTCGCGATATCGCTACTTTAAAAATAATTTTTGCATGAAATTATTGATTTTCACAATTTTGCAAGTAAAAATGAGTGTAAGAACAAAAATTATCGTGAATATTCCATATTTTTACTTTTAGTATGCAAATAACTGTAGGGAAACTGATGAGAAATTCCTAATTCTCAGTCCTTGGACACTCATCGGGTAAACATGGGGGCATCAGCATTGAAGATGCCAAATTGTTTTTTGAAGACGAAACATTTCCTCG